TTTTATGGGACGTTCGGATCAGATTGTCCCAATATCGTTTGTTCTTTTTTGCCGAATTGCTGTAACCGCTTTTCCGTTTGTTATCGAATATTGTAACAAAAGCGTTCGTACCGACACAGATAAGACTGTGTTGATGTTATTGTAATTTTTTTCGTAGTGTTTATGATGTTGCTAATAGATTCTGACAATAGGTGAAATTCGAAAAAACAATAAAACGGTTGTACGAACTCGTTATGTTTTAATGGAAGTCGTTTATGGGACATATTTGGTGTTTGTTAAAATGAAATTATGTCTAATGAGAGCTTAGATGATTATGTTTATTAAATGTGAACAGTGCGAACGGTGTAGTAAATTGTGTTAATATGGAGTTGTTGTTCTTCTTTGTCAACGGTGACCTTCGAGATTTTTTAATTAACAATTAGTATTTTATGTAATTGGGAGAAAAAATTTCAGTGGGTTGTAAAATTGCTCAAATTGTGTGCATTCCTGTATTTGGTGTACGAGTTCAGCAATAAAGGACATCATTGTGGTGAACTCACCAAAAGCAAACATATTCTGTTTGGTCTTGTATTGTAATTAATATATTTGCGATAGTTAACCTCTGGTGTTTTTTGCGTTAAATCTCCAAAAATGTAGTTCTAACTGAGACTAAGGATGTTTTGAAGATAATTTTGTAACGTTTTTGTTTTTGCCTATATTATCCAACTGTCATTTTTTTCATATTCAGCTTATGTAGAATTAATATATATCGCGTGTGGCGTCGACAACGCATAAATAAAGGTATTAATACATTTATATGAACTGAAGTTGACGTGAGCAAATTGATTTAATGTGCAGAAAATGTCTACGTTTAATGTTGTTGAGTTGTTTTGAAAAGCAAATTGAAAAATGTGTGCAACTGTACAGACAAGAATAAAACATGTATTTCTTGCGTCTATGTTTCCTAACGGAGAAGTAATTTAATACCAGCATTTTGTAACAAATGTATCCTATTAGTTAAATATTTAACATGGGAAATGTTGCATTTAAAGGACTGGTAATTTACTATTTATTTTTTGGACGTGCATGTGCAACTAGATTAATGAAATTTGGCACATGAATACTAGCCAAAAAAATTGAATGTAGACCTGACAACAGCTTCAATATTTTAAGTGGAATAGGTAGGTTCTGTTTTAATGGCCTTCCAATTTCCATTACATGTACCAAGTTTCATGTCATTCAGATAATAACAGTAACGATCGACAAGCTATTATTCAAAATATTATAAGACTTTATTTTATTAAAGTTAAAAATGGTTAAACTTTGACAGTAGTACATGAGGTTTCTAAACTCTTTGCACTACTCATCGCTGTGTGTTTTGTAAATTTGGTGACAGTGTGTGGTATGCTGATGTACTACTGATTTCACATATTTCCGTAAAAAATAAATCAATTGAAGTAAGGTGCGGAGTGCCCTGAGTCCTTGACCATGAATCCTCGTGCAACGCGAAAATAAAGCGGTCATACCCTGTCTTGTTGAAAAAAAGTGTTTAAGAAAATTAATTTTAAGTAATTGTAATTAGTAATTAAGAACAGACCACAATATAGTAGACGCATTAAATTCTCTTCAGTAAACATAATGGCCTCATTGCGCAATATCTGTAAATTTCTTTCTGATTTTTTTTCAGTGAATTACTTACTATATCGGTCCCCGAAATACATGCTGCTAAATATCAACAAATATTCACAATTATGACAGTGGGCTTTGCTATTTAAAAAAAGTACCTTCCATGCAAATGTGTTTGACAAAATTAGGAATCTATATGTTGTGTTAGTAATTCGCAGAACTGTGGACTGGATGATCTTTTCTTACTTGATGTACCATATGCTTGTAGGAATAAAAATTACATGATTTCATAATGTGGCTACTAGCTCAAACGAATTGTTCAGGATTCCTTTCGAAGTTTTTGATAGTTTTAATCTTCCATTTTTCCGTGTTGTCTGTTGGCTCTTATGGGGTTTCCAGTTCATTTAGAGAATGTAATATGTCCATTATAAACAGACTTATTGTTATGAAATTTTAAATTAACTCAGGCAGTAAAAAACAGTTTTATCATCTTCTTCCACAATAGTAGAAAGAAGTCACAAGAGAAACATTATTGTTTTTTTTTGTCGGAAATGAGAGCATTAAAACAGCTTGTGTCAAAAAAATGTGTCAGTATTAAAAATTTTGAGCTGGATGGCATAAAAAAAAATTACTATGTATTTCGAAATTTTATGATGGATGGAGTTGTTTCCACGATCTTGTAGGAATGGCGCCAATTTCTTTTATACCGCACATTGTGGAAATAACTAGATAATTGTACCCTATTTAAGAGCGAATTGCCACATAAAATCAAATACCGACATTTAAATGAAATTGATACTTTCAAGTTTTTCATTACTCCGCATCAACATAAAAGTGCCTGTTTTCTCTCTAAATAAAACAGTTGTTATCGATCGTTGGTGACCTGCTTAATTTATCCTCGAATTATCCTGCAAGGGAGGCGCCAAAAGTCAAGACATTCCGTAAAGTTTTACTGTTCTGCCGTCCATTAAAACAACAAAATTACTTGGTTCAAGTTCGAAACGTATCCAACACGCCTCGCATTTCTTAATATAGCCTTGGAGATGGGTTCTTTTTCTATTGATCCATAACTAACGAAATCATTCACCGGTCCCATAACGTAGGAAAACTATGTGGACGTCCATGAGCCCCATCAAATAGCGAAATAGCGAAGGCGAACCATGTTATCCGATTTGTTATTTTAATTCCCTTCGCCTACCGTGCGACCCATTAACACCGATTAATTGGCGTATTATTGTAATGGATGCAAATTAGAATTTCTTGGCTGCTGGGTTTGATAAAAATGATCGCCATCGCATCGCAACGAACTGCCCGCCGTTGATAATAATCGTGTGGATAGCGCGCAATTGCTGAAATTGCCACCTACTCGATATCGTAAAATCCAACGATCTATTGCCCGTTTCTCGCAGTTGCACTCGTTTGGGAGTTTGGACTGCTTTAAATATAGCGTATTTGCATATGTTCGACATTGGACTTCCTTAAACGGCTCCGGTAAGCGCGCCGACCTGCAGCTCCACACTATGCTAATGGGTCACGAGCCCGGAGGATTAATTTGGTAAACAAACTCCGTGTCGTAAGCGGTGTAATATATGCGTTTCGTGTTTGTTAAGGTATTAACAGTTTGTTGTTTAGGGCACAGGGAAAATTATTCGGGCTATAAAGTATAACGTTCATATGTGAAGCTGTGTCTAAATTAATTCGACGGAACCTCTTATGTAAATGTAAATGATGTTATTATGTCGGATTGGCCCACAGGTTAGAACGTTACAGAAAAAACGCAGACTTTACGGTCTTCAGTATAATTGTGAATTTATGATTTAATTGTTTGCGCACTTGACATAATATGCAGAGTTCTACCTAAAATTGACTCTTTTATAATATAACGTCAATATTTAAACAAGAAATATTTTTGCATTATTAAATATGCCTTTGACATTAAAAAATGGTTAAAACATTTTTTTTTTTGTAAAATCTTGACCCAAACGTACAGTATGAAAAAAACCTTGCAGATTTAACATCATATTAAAAAAAAATTTAAAAAAACAGGTTAAAATATAAACACTGTGAATATTTGAAACAAAGTTTGTTTTTGCACATCTCACATCCCTGGCCACGATGTATATAGACTAGATTATATTCAAGGATTCAGAACCCGTAGTAGGGGCTTTTCGGCTTGGTAAGGAATTTTATCTTTTAAGGAAATATACTTTTTGAGAATTTATTCAGACGAATAATTTTAAAACTTTTTAAGAAGATTGAAATCGCTTACTATTAATAACAAACGATAAAAAAAACTTGTAGTGATCGTCTTTTTTTGTCTGTCGTCTGCATTTACATCGGCACGATATGTCGAAGAAAGTGAGGTTATAACCAAGTAACGTGATGATATTAACTTAAATTGTAATTAATTTCACGAAAAAGCACAAATAACTGAACGAAACAAGAAAATCCAAACGACAGATGCGTTCCCGAAAAAAAGAGATGATCAAGTAGTAATGAGTAACCAGTATCGTTCGTTATTACTAGAGTTAGGCAAAGTCGAAGTGATGGGAAATCAATCAGACAAATATTAAATACGACGACGCAACGTCAGGTGATAAATTTGGCTGGCCGACTGTGCAGTGTCAACCTCAGTGGCGTTTGATTCACTTCACGGTTCAGAAAAAGTAGTAATTGTTATTAAGAATTCCCAAAGTTATAGACCACGACTGCAATAGCGCTGGGGATCGGACGGCAATGAGCATCACTTCCGCGATGCCGAAGCCTGTTTATTACTACTACATCATGAATCTTTTTAACTCGGAATTATTACGAAGATATTAGATTGCAAAAACTGAATGCATTTATCTTGTAAAATGACATACCAATTAAAACTGCTAAACTGACATAATAAAACTACTAGATTTCGATGAGTTTCTCCTTACTTTTTTTATGATTTTTTTTTTGTTTCATTGACATGTTTTCAAACTTTACATTTTTCAATTATTTGCAAAAGTTTGGATTTAGTGTCATTTATTGTGACGGATACACAAAACATAAACATTGATTGATTGATTTGATTGTTTCCCATGGCCTCGTAATGAAATTTTTCCAGAAACTGCATCAGTTTGTCTCTATGATTTTTTCATATAATGCTTTTAGTTCTTGCTATATAAATATATAATTTAGTTCAAAACTTTGTAGAGAAAATATGTTTTTTCGCCAGCCGTCTTAAAAGATGTCACTTTTAACGTCAATTTTGGACGGAAAACTTGACGTTTTTGTGAGAGTAAAAAAAAGTTGCGTTACTAAAGTAACAACGTCATTTTTGCCTTTTTAATCCTAGCATTAATTTTTTTTTTTTCATCCTAGCCTTAAAAAGTTTTCAATTGTTTTATTTTGAGAATGAAATGCTATTAATATTTTCCAATTTTATTATTAACTTACATTGTTATTAATTATTTAAATTTTAAAATTAATATTGAATGTACAATAAGAACAACTGCGATTGATTTGGATTAAAGATTTTCCGTCACTATTATCATTTTTCATGCGGTCAGTAATAATATTTTGCGCTAACACTTCTACCGCTCCTGCTGTCTGGTTGGTCACAGTGTCAAAATTCAGGTTTACTGCTCCCACATTCCTACTTATTCCGTCTTCACGTGTGATCATTCTATTCGTAGTTCCACTACTTGTACCTGATTCTTCTAGGTTTACTTCGCTCACATTCCTATTCGTTGCGTCTTCATGTATTTTACTTGTGGTTTCACTACTTGTACCTGGTTCTTCCAAACGAAAAAAATTTCAAATACTTTTCCCCCATAACCGTAAATGATCTGGGTTTTTTCGTTTTGGTATCAGGAATTTTTACCAATAAACCTGCTTTAATATTTTCAATATCTTCAGTTTTTATTTGTAATAGTTCGTGACACCGACAAGCTCCGCTAACGCCAAAGATTACAACAATCTGAAAAAAATTCGTAAAATAAATATAAGCTCTTCATTAGGTTATAAACATACTTTCATCATCAGGAATTTGAAATCCGGAGCCGTGTCTAAGAAAACTTCTATTTGTTCATTAGTTAAAACCCTTGATTTCTTTGGAACGTATCCTTCTCCTTGTTTCTTTATAAACGCTTTTAATTTTGAATACTTTCCGATTTCTATGCCATTTTTTATATTTAAAGTTGCTTTCACCATAGAATAGTGCGACCACAGTGTGGATGACTTCATTTTTGTAGCCAATTCGGAAAAATATACCAATAGGACGTTCTCAGAATAAGTTTGAAACTTTTTCCCTTCGCACCATTTGATGAAGCGGGTATACGCGCACTCATACACTTCGCGCGATTTTGTTGGTAACAAGTTCAGTACCACGTTTTGTGCTTCTTCTAGCACATCGGGAGGTAACTCTTCTTCAGGATTCATTATTAACACTGCAAACGTTTTCACAAAACAATGGTATGTAAGCAAACAAAAAAAGCCTTGACGACGTGGATACCAGACTACTTTGCAGATTGATTCATTTCTGCTCGATATTATTGTTATCAATATTTTGTATTTTTGAGATTTACTTTTTGGCTGGCGAAAAAGTAGTATGTTTCATTCGGATTAAAAGTCAGTTTTTGACTCGCAATTTTGCATCCGCTCGGCTTCGCTTCGCTCCGCCTCGCAAATGCAAAATTTGCTCGTCGCAAAAAATGGCACTTTTAATCCTAATAAAACAATCTACTATTAAAACTAATTATCATTTTTTGCGGCAAGTGGTTTTAAGTTTTCTGAAATATTAGATCACTTTGAAATTCTATCATAGGAAAAATTACAAATTTCTTCCCCTATAAAGCATAATCAATATCGCATGTTGCTCAGGGCATAATTTTGTTTACTTTTTTTTTAATTAACTTCTTGTAGGGGATCAATATATTAATTTTACCATATACCGCTTGTCGGCAGATTCAAAATAAATCGATCAAAACGTTATTTTGGACAAATAGTCTTTGCAAAAGTTACTCAAAAATGGAAGTATGTTAATTATTACTAATATAAGTACATCCCAAGATGTGTATTTCAGTAAAGATTTTGGTTATTTTTTTAACGTAATACCACTAAATAGAAAGAAAAAATACATGTAGACAGATTTAGTAGACAGGTCAGTTTAGTTGCAAATTATTAAATTTACCAATTTTTATTGTGAACTTTTTCCACAATATTTTGAGTACAAGTACTTAAGCTAAACACACGCTTATTAAAAAAGAAATAATATTCGGGATGGATTTGTTTTTAACTTTTATAAAATATATTTATTCCCTTGGAGTTTTCCACGTTCTTAGCCAGAATTCCCCAATGGCCAATTTTCTTTATTTTTCTTTTTATATATTTTACGTCACGTACTATATAACATTCAAAGAATTATAAAAAATATGTATTATTTTCCATGCCTTACTGCAATTTCTGAGAGCATCATTTTGTATATAATTACATCCGTATTTCTAAGATAGTGTTTGAAAATTTGATGGGGTAACGGCACGTATTTTTAGGACTAGCTGTAGACCTGATGTTAAAAATGGAAGTGGATTATTAAACCGCAATTAAACACAGCGTTATATTTCACATTTCAGCTATTCAGTATTTTCCAATATTACAATTACGTCAATAAAGCGCAAAGTTATTGTTTGACTACTGAATTAAATTTTAATTGAATTTCATACCTTAGTAATGCGCCTATAAAAAATTAAGAGTTGTGTAGCCGATATTTGAAGATTTTAATTTTTAAGATTCAACCCCAAACTCCAAATTGCTATGGCATATTTTCATAATACTTGTCCACTTTTTTTCTATGGTAATCTCATAATGATACCCACCAGTATAATAAATTGATAGCCAAGAAGTCTCGTCAAAAAACTTTGAAAGTGATGTCAGTAATTTTTAAATCAAATCGCGACAATTTAACTTAAAGTTCAGCACCTGAATACAATTCGAAACAACACTTCAAGATACTATCCATATACTACGGAACAAAACCTGGTAACCTGTTTGGATGTCTGATTTGTTGTCACATAGGTATTTATCTACTTCATTTTTCCTTTTCAAGAATCCATAAGTGAAACATTCGTCTGTAAAAGACGATTAACATTGCTGTATTGAGATCGTTTCTGGGTTCTTGATGTGGGAAATGTATCTGTCTTCAACGTAAGTTGTGTCACTTTAATGATACGTCTGTAGATACAAAAGTAAGACAGATGGTGAAAACAACGGATCGTCTCATATTATAAGAGCTTATCTGCTTCGACTCGTGTGTCGGTTATCATGGTATTACACAATTCGTGCAATTTCATTTTTGAATCAGTGCAATTTTGGTTTTTGTTAATGAACCTCACCGGATACCTCAAGTTCCGAACTTACGACCCTTATTGTTTATAACTTGTATCCAAGATGTGGTTGATGTAATATCCAGCTACAAGCTATTCTTTGCTGATGACTTGAAGCTTTTTCTTAAAATAAAATCCTTAAAAGACCGTGAACTATTGCAAGAGGACATAAATAAACTAATTTCATGGGGAACAAATAATTGGTTATATTTAAATAAAGTAAAATGTTTTATTGTTTCATATTCTAAGAAAGAACACATTATTATTAACCATATTTCTGAATGTACCTCCGAAGTATATAAAATGTACGGGTTTATCTTTCCAAATTGCCGAGGATTCTCCAGTGTACCCTCATTACTCATTTTGTTCAACTCCCTAGTTAGATCTCGTTTAGAATATTATGCATTGATCTGCTATCCTATTTATACTATCCACTTTCAACAATTGGAAAAGCCTATTCACCACAAGTTGATGATCATCAAACGCAATTACGTAGATTTAACTGCAACTGACTAGACATCAGACGCATAATAACCTTCATTAAGTTCTTGTACAACTTACTTAACAACACTCATAGTGACTGTTCATATTTCTTAGGAAAAATATGTTTCTCATTACCTAGACTAAGTGTTAGCCTTACTTTAACATTCTATTCTTCTTATTGTAGATCAAATTGCTTCAAGCGGGGTTTAGGTCAATTATCAGGCTTGGAATAGCTCGCGATGGCAACACTATAGAGGAATTGAGAATCATGTCCTATTTGGATCCCAAAAAACCAATGTGTATCCAAATAATTGTATTATTTGAAATAAGGTTGACATAAATGTTTTTCTGTTTAATAGTAAAATGAAAGTAAAAGTCCACATCTAAAAATTAAAAATCAGAGATTCAGAGGCACAGCACAACGTAGGTGGCCACTATCTTGATGCAATTCTCGGTGATCATACGTACATGTTACCCTTAAATGCAACAATATGTTATCAACACGTATGTAAATAGCCTAAAACCAAGTCCTAAGATTAACAGTTACACAGAATTTGGGGCTGATAATAATGAGATCGAATTTATTTTAACTACTTCGTGGCAAATTAAAGATGGAATGAATTAGCAATACCGTTGTAGTATCTCCCTTTTAAAATTTGTTGCCTGTGGGCTTACATGCCACCAATTAACGTGAACGCCAAAATAGATTCTTTAATTTTCTAATTATAATCACTTTTCATTATTTCATTGCTTCAGGATTCCGTACCAAGTAGTTACTTAACTGTTACTACTAGCGCTGACCAGTCTTTCTTCAGAGTTAGTGCTGTAAATAAAATTATGATTTGATTATGTATAGTGCTGTTCTTGCAAATCTCGTTTATATAAACTGCTCAAAATGTTTATCCAAAATTTAACTCAAAACGACAAAGTTGTAGGAGTATTATTTAATGAAATTTGTGCTATATAGATTTTGTTTGATTCTTGTTCTTTCAAAGTGGTTAAATATATGTAACAAGTAATGTGAAGACAGTCAATTGTTTTCGTAGTCATTATAAGTCATAATTTTACCATTGAATCTTCGGCTGGTGATATTTTGGTCCACTTCAGTGTAAATAATTTTTAATTATCGCAATGGCACTTGCATCATGAATTTTTTATCCCTATGTGTGGGAGTATATGAGTAATTAGATATAGTTTAAACTTAATAAATCGAATATAGGAGAAACTCGCTTATATCTTTTCATCTGTCTACAATGGCATTACGTTCCAGCGTAGACAAAACATTACATTTGCATAAAGTTAAGGAGTCGTTCCCATTAGTCTAGTTAGTAGCGGCTTTAATTTTTCCCCGTTTTTCGAATTAAACATCTCTGGCAGCCGTTTTAACTGTTTCAACGAATTGAAATTGCTCAATTAATAGCTATGTTGCCGGAAACTAAAAATAATAGAAAATAGTTACCATTATTATATCTATAAATAACAATGAGTTAATCACGTGTCTACTGCATTTGACTTAATAAAGGAAATTAGCAACCAGTTGAAAGAAAATTACAAACTATTAACTGCACCTTGTAATCGACGTCACTCTATAAAGTGAACAGTTTAAGTATTTTGTTATCTTTGGACGCATCGATCTTCAACTTTCACGCCATAACATTATCATTTTACAATACTAGTTCTTGTACAAGAATGGTTTAATCTACATTACGATACTATCGAAAACAGTGATTACTAGATTCCGTAACGGAATTATTATGATTATGTGATTTTTTATTATGTTTGCCTGCAAGCTAATCGTTTAAATCTGGGAACTTTTACGGTTGGTGTTGGTCTATGCGTGAAGCAAACTGGGAAGCATAGTGAAGGAAACACCTGGTTCCTTTTTAATTTTTAAAGTGTTTTTTCGATAATCATCAGTAAAAGTACGTGAAGTCGAGTTTTACCCCTTGTCGAGGATAGTTGTTACTACCTGAAACAAAGGTGGGCGTTAATTATGGCTATTTTTAATGAACGATCGTTATGGTATTTCAGTTTGGTAGAAAACAGGTATTAGAAAGTTGTTTGCAATTATTACGACCAGACAAGGTTTAATTTTAAGTACACCTGACCAAAATGAAATGGTTCTTTTTCGTAGAATTAATTTTAGTATGTAGGCTTAGGAGAAATGATAAATGGAACAAAGTGTGCGAAAATCATTCATTGTAATTAAATGAGTTCAAGCGCCTACGTCTAGCATGGTTAGTTATTTATGTGTATCTTTTTTTTTGTTAATCATATGTGAATTAATTATGGATACTTGACGTTCGAAGCAAGTACCTATTAAACGTATTTCTTATGCCGTATTTCCAATGCAGTTTATCGAGACACAAACCAACTTGTAAAGAAATCTGAAGATGCGTAATTTCTTAGGATTGTCATTTTAAATATTTTGTGGTAGCGGTTAACGTTATTTTTAGGAGCGTATCACCAGGAGGTTAAAGTTCTTTAATTTTCAGCTTGTTGTTAAATTTGCGGTATAATTTAAACTATAAATATTAAGTACGAGTTCAGTATTTAAAGTAGGTATTTCACTGCGTTTTAAAAAATTAAATTGTAATCTTTATTGCTACCAGTGAGTCTCAGTGTTTCTAATTGGTAAGCCGATTTTGGTTAACTTTCTTTAACACTCGTTGCGTAATTTTTTTTCATGATTTGCACGTTTTCTTTTAAGCCGTTGGTAAAATCAGTTCATTAATACCACGTGTGATGTTGATAAGTATTTATAACATTTATTTTTTTATTTATTGATGGACAAATTTAAACACAATTCGTTTATATGTTGTTGCCCATATCATCAACGTATTTTTTTTTATTATAATTTTTCAAGTTTTCATCCAATTATGTAGACGACGTGTTCTAAGTTCTATAAAAAATTACAATCACTGTGAGGAACTAAATCGGTAATTCAGCTTCGTACAGTGAGCCGCTGTATTTGACAAATTAGAAATTCAATTTGTATTATTATACTAGTCGTATCCGCCAATATGGTGACGCCATCAAAAATTGTATTAAATAGAACTACTTATATCATTTTCTTTACTTATTATGGAGCTAGTAGTTTAGCCTTCATAAAAATACCGGTCTTGCTGCGATTTGGTTATAGTTGGTTCACGTCAGATTTTCTTTAGCTGAAGTGCTAGAAAATATGGAATTTTGTAAATGTCAAGCTGCAAACTACAGAATTCTGAAAGGGGAGTAACAATTGTCATTTGACTGAGAACAAAAACTCAAATGAAATACAGGCTGCAACCAAGTTGAATAAATCTGAAGACCTAAGCTTTATGATCTAGTCCTTATACTTTCTATTAAAAATTATATTATGCTAGTTTTTTATTAACCTATCCAAAAACGTTCCATTAGATATTTACAAATTAATTGCCTGTAATGATAACATCGTGGTTTTTATAACTCGTCTATGCGGCGACTGTTACTTAATCTTATTCCAATGATCAGCAACTGTGTCGAACCGATCAACAAAAAAACCTCTAATACCTTGCCGACGATTTACACAATGAATTGCAAAAGTCCCATCTTCTCAACAACAATGACACGATGTGACGGTGCTTCCAACGGATCTGAAATTTGTTTTCTTTTTCTTGAACGACGCAACGATCCACTCGAACGCATCTTGAATAAACAAAATCGCCCTTCCTCTATTTCGAATTTCCCCATGCATGTCTCGTAGTTTTTTCGCCCTTTCGCCTCTTTTACCTGCTGCTATTCTTCGCTTTAGCACGTCTGAGGGCACAGAGCGGTCGTAATAATTTTTTTATTAGAGATTTCTGGGTCGGTGTACATCTGGTGCATACATTTGTCGACAAAAAACTACAAGATAAACCATTTTGTGCTTTTGTATTCAGCGTAGCTCTGATTAATTTTCGCACAAGAACGTAAATCTAACGATTTCAGCTTTCAGAGTGTGATATAATACAAAAGAATTGGGACTGCAATAGCTTACACATGTCTGCATCCGTTGGTTTTACAAATTAAACATTTTTCTGTAATTTGTTTGCCTTTAGAGATATTTTAACTTCAGTTAGTTGTAAATGTGACAGAAAATATATTTGTGCCAACATTTTTGAAATAGGTATTCCCTTCACATAGTGACCAAAATGGAAATTAATGAAAAACTACTGAAATACTTACTAATTATAATTATTCCTTCAGTTTTACAATGCTATTGAGAAAAGTAGGTAATGTGTACTAGCTATTAAGAAGTAACTGTCGTAAAAATTAATATGCACTAACTATACCACGAACGGGGGTCTTCCTTATTCTTTTGGATATTTTTCTCGCACAGGTGGTGGGCCACAAATTATGTTTCAATCTTTGTTCATTTCGTTTTCCCTATTTATTGTGTGTTTCAAGATCTACCTAGAAAGACTATCGACAAAAGCTTTCGTGAGAGTGACATACAATATATAAATACTGGATTATCCCTATTTTTCTTGGAGGAAAAATAAAAAAAGAAAATATTCTTTGACGGAAATTAACCAAAAAGTAAAATGATATTCTTACCTTTCTTTTTTCAATGGAATATATAAATAAAATTCAGTTTTACTAAAATTCTTACAACAAATTATAAACAGGTCGTATTTGTTTCTGCAAACTTTATTTTTTAAAGATGACTACTTGTTAAAAATAATAATAAAATAAAAATGTAGATGGATTATTAAACCCTAGCATCATTTACGCTGTAGATTTCTGTGATTTTCTAATAAAATTTTATGATGACATCACCAGTTTTTTAATGCAGAAAGATCCAGACAATTTTGACACATAATCTAAGATCAATAATAACGCTCCATTGTTATTAATGGATGACGTCATCAATTTTAATTGAGATAAGATGAGTATAAAAAATTGTACATCTAGTTGGCTTTGAAATTTCGTGAATTCCGACAAATGTATCTTGTATTATATACATATATACATTATTTGTACCCAGTTTTGCCGTTAAGCGTCGGTTTTTTTCAAGAAATGAATAAATAAATTTTAGGCGATTATCTGAATTCATTAAATTAACGTTAATGGCCTACCAAAGTTTCAAAGATATTCCTTGTACAGCGTGTTATTGAAAGGTATGTACAAAATAAAATTGGTAATTGGTCTCGAAGCATGAGTACTAAAAGTAAAAAAAAGTTCAGGTAAAAGTATTCTCATTCTCCTTTTAGAGATAAAAATTATTAAAATTGATGTCCAAATTCATTTTTCGTTTCTATAGCAACATTTAGTCTTGACAAAAGTTTTATGGTTACAGTTGCTAGGATTTACTAAAATAAATTAATTTCACCTATTTATCCTTCAGTAGCGTCTAAAAAGGTTGGATAAGGGTTAATTTTCCCCTTATAATTTTGGTAACACAAAATAAGTTTTTCACACTTCTTAGACTTCGCGAATAACTGTCAATTTTGTTGTACGTACCTTTTAGTAACACCCTGTACAGTGTTCTAACACACATTGTAAAATTTCATCCTAGATATTTTAATTTTTGATAGCCTGAATATGTAAGGTTAAAAATTCGAAGTGTATTATTAAATCAAAGTTAAAAAAACATGCTACGGTGTAAATTTCAATGCAAATTTTATTGACAAAAAAAATAATCGTCATGGCTCTTGCTGCAATTCCTCCCCTACCTAGCTCACGGTCGAGGAATTTTATTATATCAATCAAGGTTTATTTCATAATCTGTTACGACGACGGGTTTAGCTTTTTGTGGCGGTCAATATGTTAATTTTGATACATAGATATTTTATACTCCTATATTTTAATTTTATATTATCTGGAATCGAGTACATAATAAAATATATATAAATCAATTAATGTTAAAAAATCTAGAGTTTTTATGTGGCGTATAATAACGTACACACACTTTTAAAACATTATTAGGAACAGTAGGGAACTTAATGAAGTTGTTTCTGTTTTAAACATACAACCTACAGATTATGAGCAACTAGACATACTTATTAGTAAATTTCTGTAATTAAACATAAATCAAGAAAGAATATTGGCATTTGTTAAAAACGTAGTTAGAATATTTTCTCAAACCTTATAATTTACGAGATGGTGACATTATTTTCACCAAACACAATGAACGATTTATTAGAATATTGAAGAAATCGAATAATAGTGAACTTGTGTATTTAGAAACCAATATTTTTTCCTTCTTGCCTTCTAGGAATAAGTGCGGTCTCAAGACAGATTCCCTTTTCGTTAGTGTAAGTGTACAAACTGCTTCCGCTAGTTTTCCGAGGTTTTCCCTTTAAAATCCATCGAACTGAGTATGCCGCCCGTGGCACCCTTGAGTCTTTCCATCCCGCTCTTTATTTTGCGAGACGACTGATCGATCACTTGCATAATAATCGGCAGCGGCGACTCGTGAACATTGCACCTAATATCCTGTTCGTAAATGGAGGTCGGCAAGCGGATACGTGTCTGTCTACAAGAGGGGTCTTTCCTAACTTTCGATTCGTATCGTGATCAATATTAGGTAATTCGCATGGTGTGTGTATGGTCGAACCTAACGCTGAATGTCAGCAGGATCCGGTGGTCGATGTCCTTTCTGTTTTCACTAAATGTGTGCAGTTACGAGATATGGTGAACATGATGGAGCGAAAGGATGATTGATTGGTACACGGAGAAGATGAAATGGATACGAAGGGGAGCAGTAAAAAAAAGCAATATTGCGGAATGTGTCGGGGGAAATTTGTAAACATCGAATTGCTTGTAAATGGAAATAAAAGAGAAAATAACGTAGAGGAACAGGGGCAAATTTGTCATTTTTATTTTGTTTTTATTTTGTCCCTATTTGTTGAAAGCGTGCATTACATAGGTATAGCTAGAGGTGACGTGCTATGTTACATGGGGTTTTTAAAAAGACGTCTAAGTTACAGAGAGACCTTGAAGTGTCTGTTTAATTAATTCTTTAGGAACACAGTGTACAAATTCACTATTGGGTTAATACTTAAAATATACTTAATTAGGTGATGTAAACAGGATTTTGAGAAGACACGATTGATGATCGTCACGTTTAAATTTCGTAAAAAGAAATGCGGATGTTTTTTTTTTCCCAAAGAACGTAGTACAGCCGGTTTTTAGGAACATAAATAACATCAAATCTTGCAACTTAATAATTCAAAACTATATATTTCAATTTTTTACATGTTATTAAAACTTTATTCAACTGGGGACCAATTTGGTACATTGTTTGCTATGCAGTTAATGGTATTTTTAACAGTTTTTCCAGGAGTTTCCTTTTTGACAGTACATTTAGCGATAATTTTTTCCGCCTCTTCATCACTGGAGACTCCTGCCCGTACTCGTTTTTTCAGTGCTTCCGTATTTAAGTCACCGTTTTCATAAGCAAAGCCCAATTTCTTGAAGGCACAAAGCGATGTGTTTTCCAGTCTAACGTCTCCTGAATTTGCAAAGTCTTTTATAGTTGCTATCAATTCATCCGTCACCCCATTTGCTTCTCTGCACGGTTTGTGGATTTTTTCAAATTTTTCCCTTTGTTCGTCAGTAATTGCCTAAAAAAATAATGCTTATTTAATGCTTAGTTAAATTGTATTGGGATCAATAATTAGCAACACGGTGCAGTTTCAAATATTTACAAATCGAAGACTGCTACACATTCGTCTTTCCGTGCACGTACTTTCAACAGGCATTTAGCTTAAACTAAAATTTACTACATAAAAGTACTGTTTACCGAAACGTTCACGTCCAGCAGTCTTCTATTTTAAATTCAACTATACCGCCAACTGTTAATTTTTAATAAAATTGATGGCAAATGTCGCAAATTTTATTTAGGAGGAAGAATTCTTGTTATTAGTAAAGGATTTGATGCAACATAGTATTTAATTACCGCTCGGAGGTGCCACACTCAATTTTTTTATGTTAAATAGCGTCATAGAAATGTTTTGTAATAATATATCAAGACGATTTTCCGTGTAGTATGATTAGATATTTACTTTGAAAAAGTGTTACGTGACTATTAGAAAATACAAGAAAAAATATTTCATTTATAATTTTATGCAATTTCAGCGTTACTTATAAAAAATCAGTAGTTTAGTTTTTGTTCAGTGATCTAGAAGCAACTACGTTCGAAGCGTAATTAATATGTATATGATTAAAAAAGCTAAACTTTAATAAATGCGAACCTTCCTTTATTGTAGGTTTAAATGTTAGTTTTGCTATGCACACGTAACATAATTATATGGTCTAAAAAATCATAACAGTGGTCGAAGAACTTTCCGCGCCTTTGAAGCATAATCTGACAAATCCCGCTCCTTTAAACAATTATTATAAAATTTGATTTTGCGATTTTGGAATTTACACTCCCAAGTATGGAAGATGTAAAATATATTTAAAGCCAATAACCAACGGGCTAAATTTGTCCTTCTAGCACCAATAACAAGCTTAATTTCAGTTGTTTATGTTATACACTGAAATAATATATCTTAGAAATTAATTTAATTTGAATTAGTTTCTTTTCGCTAAACACAGGACTAAAATTATTATTAATTAAGCCACAATTGACCAAAATCTTCTGAATATTATAATTCTTATTTTATCATTATTAAATACAGACATTTTCAAGGAAATGAGCTGATTCGTTTCTAATTTGACCAATAAAAAATTTGTAGTGACGTCTCCAACATAGATAATACTGTCATAGTGCATTACCGTTGCAAGAAAAAAAAAAAAAGAACGCACTGTTCCACGAGAATACTTAGTGTTAGTAGTACAATGTTATTACACCTTGCAAATATTTAGAGAAAAAACTGAAAGCGGATTCGTACACCACAAGTATAAGAGTATATTGTTGTGTTACATTTAGATCTTTTTACAATTTAATTAATTGAGATAACGTGATCAAATTGTTGGTGGGGATGATTAGCCAAATTTTAATTAGCGTTCTAGCATCTACATGATATTTTTAATATACATACAAAATTTGACAAAAATCGGTCCATAGTTCCGGAGATTACGTGTGAAAAAAAAATCTATACAGACGCCAGACAGACAAACGAGAGATCACTTTTTTCGTACTCTGGGAGTCATGAAACGTCGAAAAAACATGAAACTGGCATGTCGCCCGATCGACTGGTTTACTATACTTCTTTAGCTTACGTTAGGGAAGCAAAAATTTTGTTGATTCGGACCAATATAAGTAGTTAACCCGTCATTAACACGTTTTTTACTGCAGTTAGTTACAGCTGCTATACATAAAATATTGTATGTTGGATAAAGGCAAAAACACCCGATACATTAGAGCAATTCATTTCATTCATTTTTTAAGTTGCTGGGTTGCTCCAAAACAGTTTTTTAATAATATAAACCATTTTATTCCTAAGGCCTTTTGGAAAATATGTGGATCAGTTAAATCAGCAACTACAAGTGGCAAATAGTCATATTAGATGTACATGCATAAGTTATGTATGACTTTCATTAATAATAATGTTAAAAATAGGATACTGTTTAAAAAGTAACTTACCAATGCAGCAACCAGAATGGTAGCGAAAACTAAGAGAAGCTTCATCTTTGTGCGAATGTTGTTTAGTAAGTAACTGCAGTGTTCGCACTGTGCAGCCTTATATAAGAACATTTATCGCTGTTTGTTTAGTTTTTAATTAACTCAGTAAAGTTTATCGTGTCAATGTTATGTTCCGATAATTGTAATGGTGGCTAGCGTTGTACTTCCCTCAGTCCAGATCGTTTGAAAACAAGAAAACATGTCGGTGGTGGATGACCTCTTCCTTTACCAGGAAAATGATGTCACTCAATCAGCATATAAGCTACTCTTAATTTGCAACCTGGCTTTTTCGTGGAATAATATCAGTATTTGTAAATATATGGAATATTCAATATTCATGAGGTTTTTTCGATTATCTTGAACTTCGAGAATTTCCTGTACACATGGCATGTTTGTCGACCATAGAAAACTAAATAAAATTCTAGATTTATTGGGTTGTGGATTGAGTCTGTGATTATTTAAGCCAAAAATAACTGACCGTTTACAGTTACAGCAATAACGAGAAAAAAACTGCTTTTCCCCAACGGTTTTCTATATTTTCCACGAGCACAAACACACTGTTTAGTTCGGTTCCCTTGTGTGCACTAGCTTCTACTTGCATTCTTTGTCTCTATGCTTTTCCCGACGGCGTTTTCCTTCTCGTCATTTATTCACCCCGAAGTAGGATCTATGCGGATTCCATGTTGAATATTGCAAAAGGTCCCATTTAGGGAATGCCGTTCCGTTGTTGCTTGCTTACGCTTTTCTCGAACCTACATCTGCTTGACGACCGTAAAATGTCATAAACTTTTCATCATTTACAAGGAGATCGATGGGCGATGCCATGTTCGAAAAGTTGGCGCTAGATAGGTCAAACTTAAGAATATTATCGAAACGATTAATCAAAACGCCGACATAAAAGGTTGGATTAGATCTGGTTTTTCATTAATGACTAACATTATGTCAACAAGTGATTTTTGATATTGTATAAGAGCGTTGCACTTTTTAGTAGTTGCGATTCAGCAAATTATGTTGTCTTGACTCTTCTCTGAATTCCAGAACTTGTTTATAACACGTGCATAGTTTCTGAAATTCCTGGCATATTTACGTAATTGGAGGTAGGTACGTGCACCATCCCATTTATTTGGTGCATCTGTGGGAGCATTTTCGATTCTGTTAACAAAAATAGATTAGATCATTCAAAAAACTTTTATTATTTCTCACTTAATTTAAAATTAATTGAAGTTATTTTGTAAGAACAATCAATATTATTTAATGGTTTTTGGTCTTTGTTTGTTGTTTTTCATTTAAAAAATACATTATTTGAAAAATTAATTGAAAATTGACACGATTATTCTTTGAAAAATGAATTGAAAATTGACACGATTATTCGTTTATTCTATAATCTTTGATAAAACTTTTTAATAATAATAATAATAATAGCGTTTATTGCCCAACAGTTTTACTTTGATTTACTAAAATTTATTTTTTAATATATGTATAACAGTTATCTTAAAAGGAAGTTTAAAATATCTTTAAATTTTTTGAATATTCAAGATTCTGAATGTAAAAAAAATTAATGGAGTGAACTGCATATTTTGTGCAACTTAAAGATTAATTTAGTTTATCTGCATATAATGGAATTAAGGTTGCAGTCTACATATAACATTAGCAATGAAATTGCCGTAGTAAACGTAACGGGAAAAGGTATAACCTTATTAATTTATTTTTTTGCCAAAGCTACTTGATACTTGTATTTCTTTTATGTTATAGTCTAATAAATTTGTCTCTACTCTTGTCATTTGTGATCCACGAGGTTAATTAACAATTAAAAATTTTTCTTAAAGTTTGTGTTTGTTTTTAGAAAGTCTTACTGAGCAAGACCAACATGCTATTTACAATTTATTGTAGTTATTGAATGTTTTAAAATTTTGTTTTCTTAATCAAATGGTCGTTTGGATATTTACATTATTTTATTATACCGATCCATCGATAGCATTTATTGCACCAGTTTTCATATTCGTATGTTCCAAGAAACAGCAATTATGAAAATGTTATAGGTATGTACCTATAACAGTAATATTTATCCTGACATATTTTTCAGCCAAACTCATCTTACATTTTAGAGTACTTTAAATAGTTCTGGTTTTATCGTTTTTATTTTTATAGTTTTAAAACATTAACTTTTAAAATCCTAAGACTTTGGTAATTTTTTTTTCAAATTTCTGTAAGCGAAAATAATTTTTAATGGTACGAGTATATCTTTGTTCACGAATGCCATACATTTTTTATAATAACTTTTAAGTTGCAAAATATTAACAATTTACAGTTGTAATTTATTTAGTCAGTTAGTGTATTTTTTCCAGACGATAAGTAATATCTTATAATCATATTTGCAAGTGTGGTTGCGATACTTAATACTTAATATTTAAAAAGTAAGCTGTGAAAAAATAATGTACTACATTAAGGGCCGGTTGCATAAACGCAAATCAAATTTAATCTCTGATTAAGAACAATTGTAACTATGATAATAACAATCGTTACTATGGAGTTAATCAGAGATTAAGGGCCGAATTCTGTAAAGTATAAAGGCACTTTGGTAAAAGGATTGTCCTTTACATAAAGATATTCCTATTCTCTAAAACGTAAAGGACCCTTATAGATCCGTTGGATAAAGGTGAAGTCCTTTATAGTTTCCCTTATGCAACGTATGGTCATATGTGTCACTTTATGGAAATTATCTGTCAGTTTCATTAGTTTTAATAGTGGCCGTTTCTAAATAAAAGGGAAGAAATGGAGAATCTGTGATTATTTATCTTAAAGGAATTACAATAAAGGTATATATGAGTCAGAACAATGATGTCTTTGTCCAGTTTTATAATTTTATCGTTTAAATTTGTTAATATTAGCACTAAAAATCGTCGTATTAAAGTTAATTAAGCCCAATTTGGTGCAAATAGAAATACTTTTACGATACCCCAAATAGATTGGTAACTAATATACAACTTTGCAAAAACAACTCCTTTGAAGGGGTCTTCAATTAAAAAAGCCCAAAAGATCCATTAATGGTCAGACTCCACTGACCACACTGGCATAAGAGGCCAGTGCTGATATCTCAAAAAATGTGCATGATTTCATAAAATGTTTAATTTTTTTTAATGTTACCATCATAAATAAATAATATTTTTACTATATGTCAGGCACAAAGACCACGACAAGAATTTCATATCTCATTCATTAAAAAAAGCTAAGTTTAAAAATCTCCCGAGCCCGTCACACCAACCATACTGACATTGTGAAAATTTGAGGTTATATACAATCGATTCCATCTCTCTCGACACAATGGTAAACGCAAGCGTTCCTTTTCTAAAAGTATATACTATCGTAGTAAAAACATCCGTTCGTTCCTTTACATAAAGTCGAACTGACGCACAAGTTTCTCCCCAACGGATGCAATAGAGGATAAGATATTAAAGGATTCACTTTCACATTTCCTTTACGCTAATGCCTTTAACAAACGGATCCCTTATTAAAAGGTTAAGTTACAGAATTCGGCCCTAAATTTGATTTGCGTTTATGCAACCGGCCCTAAGAGTAAGTCAAATTTGTATTATCGGTCAGCATGCAAAGTAAGTAGTTTTTCTTCTTTGTTGTAGCTTTCACTTATTAGCACTAAATTATAATCGATGCTTGTTTGCTGTATTTTTTATCTCCTAATTTCATAGCGGAAGGAATTGCCGCTTTACAACGATACCTGGAACAATGAAAAATTCATGCTGGCAATAAAATATCCATATAAATTTGTCCCAATTTCTACTCACATGCCAAAGACTGTATATTAAAATAGTAAATATGCTTGTATATAACGCATAAAATGTAGTAGTTCAAATTTGTACGATGCTTGTCAGGGTTCGAGTTGAGCGAGACTGACGTTGAGTAGCTGTTTAATATGAGAATTAAGAAACAACCATCATACGTTTCACCTATAAGTCAACTCCATTTTAGTTTTGATTATCTATTGCGAAATTCTGTGCTGATTGATTAAGGATTTTTTTCAATTTTGAGTCGTTAAACTAGCTAGTTTATAAAAATATAAATATGTAAATTGCATTTCATAAATTCTCTGGGACGAAAAAAATTGCACATCAAAATTTTCACATCGATTTAAAGTTGTTGTTTGTTATACTGGCGTCACAACCCCGTTCGATAGGACCTCTAGTGCAGAGAAATTTTATACACATACATTTTGTATCAAGATGTATATAGATAATTTCAGAAAATACTAAACCCGTTGTCAAATTTTATGTGTTTTAGAAATGTCATGTAGATGGTATTACGCTAACCAGAATTTGTCTAATCGTCCCAACCAAGTGTTTGATGACTTCACCTCAAAATTTTGCATGGTAAATGCTATTTAAATTTTATACACTCCTGTACTTGCGGTTTGTCAATTCGCCTTGAGTGTTTACGAGGAAAGTTCTGTTTAATAACATGAGACTAATTTTTATTGATGTAGAAAAGTGTGGTCAAAATTTGATAGATCCCTAAATTCAAAAAATGACACCAATCATAATCATGTTGACACTTTAAAATTAATGGAGTATGGAATTTACAGACCCTCTACGCCTGTATTACATGTTATTTGGCTGTGCGCTATCTAATAGTAATGTCTAATGTGCTATCAACAAAAAATGACTTTAAGTTGGCGTCGGACCAACAAGCTATTTTTGAGGATATTTTTATTGATCTCCAGTTATTTTGTAGTTGTGTTGTGGTGTCGTCGTGTCGACGAACTTCAGTTACGAAAGAAATTTTTGATGTTGTGTTGAAACCTTTCACAGGAGTAATATATGTATTTAAAGGTTCAATTCAAGCATTAAACAAGAAATAATCACCACAACAAAATCAAATAATCATGCTAAAGAGCAAAAATCAAAGGATGTGTAGCATACTGGTCGTAGTTTATCAAATCGGATAAAAATTAAAAAAAAAAAGACAGGATGTTGGCATGTCAGTAAAACTATTTATATGGTTGCAGCACTAACACAAGGGTTAAGTATGTATCTTGATCAAATGAAAGGTCCAACGTTAAATTATTCTCAAGTAACAGCACTTACAGTTATTGCGTGTGAGGACTTTTGAAATTGCAGACTGTTTTGTATTATATGGTATTATGTATTGGCTTGTCTTTGAAGGTTAGACAAAAATTGTATCAAACCAAGACACTATTTTCTGCTGTTAGTTTAATTGAATTGGAGTGTAAAAAGTGATGTTAGTTGTTCCAATTTATTATTAAAATGTTGAGCGTTTATTATTTTGTGAATTTTAGTTTTGATTAGCAACCCACCAGTTGTGCTTCGGTAACTATTTTACTTCTAGAGATGTTTTTTAACAATATGTACTAATATTGTCAAACGCAGACACCTCTCACTATAATGAGTCAAGGTCAGGTCAATTCAAAGTTTCTCAGAGTGATAATGTAAAAGAAATATTAGTTATAATTGTTGGAATCTGAAAGCTATTTTAAACGACATAAATTATGTTGCTTAAAATAGCCCTGATCAGGTCAGAAAAAATACATAATGCACGTCTGATACTTTTTGGTACTCAAATGGTGTAGGTCAGTGTTGGGAAGGTTGAGAAAATAGAGAATATTGGATGTTCTTGAAGGAATTTTAGTATTTTTGAAGTATTGTTGTTACGTTTCTGCAAATTAAAACCAAAGCGCGTTTCTCCTAAACTAAAATGGGACTGGTAAACATGGGATTGCAACAAGTCCCGTAGTTTCGGAGATTACATGTCTAATAAAAATTGATACAGACAAAAGACAGACAGACAGAGAAACTGGGCATTACTTTTTTCGCACTTTAGGGATCATGAAAGGTCGAGAAAGCATGAAAGTAGCAACTCAATTAGCTTTAGGCTCGGGAAGCAAAAATATGGATGGGTGCATTGATAAATCACAAATGTAGACACATAATATTTTCTACATTTTTGAATGTATTTATCTAAGAAAATTTTAAGGCGGCGTCATTCAGTTTTTGTTGAGAATAAAAAGATAAATATTGGTTGGCGATTTACTATGTGTACGATAACATTAAAGGGTCTGCAAGATTTCAGACTAGTGAGTTTTGTGGTTTTTAATTTGGTTAAATCTTTTTCCAAAAATCCTAATTTGCCAGATAAAAATAAGGGCATATTAAAAACCTATTATTTTATGAATTAATATACGATTTACGTTGCAAAATCAAATTGTTGGTGAAAATGACAAATTTTAGCATTTTACCATCTGTATGACACCTAAAATTTCACAACAATAAATCGACATCCAACGGTAAATCTTGACAACCTGGTACTGATAAAAGAAAATATATCGTTATTTTACTTTTAATGTCACTGTAACAGTTATTAACGTAAACTGAACAACGTATTCCAACTGTACCACCACGTGTTTCAAGTATTCTAGATAACCTCATTCGTCCCGCGCCGCTATGCGATAACTAAAATTCTTCAATACGATTTGCTTTGATCAGCTGGCTTGTCTAAAGTTTAAAATTCGTGTGCAGCGATTTTTTTAATTTCCACAAAATTTAGTATTGTGCTTCGATTAGGTACTGATTGATTTAATTAGTGAAATGAAATGTGAATTGAAATCTTAAAAATTACATATACTGTTTTCTAGTTTTTAGCTGTATCTATTTTGGCAATTGTTGTATTATGCTATCCGTTTCCCAAGAATGTGTCTCATCGATCCAGCAAACGCTTTTACGATAGATGACGTCAAAAATATCCCATTAATGATTCTCGTCAACTTGCTGAGCTTAATTTAGGAAGTGTTATCTTCACCTAATCTTTGTCTAATGGGGCAAGATCAACTTTACATAAAATAGTTACTAAGTTTCCCAATGCAGTTAGTCAGGTCAAAGAAAATACCATAATACTGTTGGCATTGATCTTTATTCATTGTAGTTAACGTCATCTATCAAAACTACTTAAAATTTACATTGTTTTAATTATTGTCAGTCTGTAAATAGCAGTTACGTATGAATCTGGATTCGACATTATTTTGCCAGAGAACCGATGGATAACAGTAAAATGTTAAACAATAACACAGCTAATTTGCTAAAAAATCGCGTATGTGCAATATTAATGTATGTTTTCCTTTTGCAGTTCTCCTTCGGGAGACGATAGAGAACGACGACCTGCAGTTCAAAACCCTGAAGATAACGGACTTCGGTTTGGCTCGCGAGGTGTACAAGACCACGCGGATGTCACAGGCGGGCACGTACGCCTGGATGGCGCCCGAAGTAATCAAGAACTCTACCTTCTCGAGAGCGAGCGACGTGTGGAGTTACGGTGTGGTCTTGTGGGAGTTGTTAACGGGCGAAACGCCATACAAAGGCATCGACACCCTGGCCGTAGCGTACGGCGTCGCCGTCAACAAACTCACCTTGCCCATACCCAGCACGTGCCCGCAACCTTGGAGGGAACTGATGGAGAGTAAGTGTGACCATTGTGACCATTTATTTTTACGCCACAACAGCTCTGAACGAATGAATGGGTAAACGAGAACTGAATATCACCGTCGCAATCGTCGCATGATGAATTTTTCGCTCTGTAAAAACGGTTTTAACAATGATTTTGAGGTAACGAGGGCGTCGGTGGGTTACGTTTAGCTTTATTCCGAAAGGGAAATAGTTCAAAATATCAGACACTGATCGAGTGCTGTTAGCAATTTTTGCTTGACGCTGGGATAAAATTAATCACCCTTTGATAAAATTTAAAGGATCAGGTATATTTCAGGAGAGCTGTTACAAAGCGAGTGAAGGTCCAGATTACGCATAAAACGTTCCTCGCCTCGGCAGGTATAAAGTGTTCTATTGGCTACTAGGTTTATTGAATTACTTGTGAAAAAGTAGGAACTTCTTTTGTTCTCATATATTCAGTGACAAAGTCCTTTTACTCAAACATATATAGTTGCTTCTAAAAAAGAAGTGTGAGATAAAATAATCCGCAAAGCTATTTGCACTCGCTTTTATGTTTTTTAAGATAGGGCATTTACTTTTAGTGATAGTAAAAATATTTATTGTGATCGGAATAATCTTAAAATAAACATTTTATTCATCATATGATCGAAAAAAAAGAACAACTCCTGGTCAGCCATGGAATTAATTTTTTTTAATTGTTGGCAAAATCTGTTCGCTTTTGAGGTTATGGGAAATTGTTCACGAAATTCTTCTAGGCATCGCATTAAAGAGTAAGACCACCGTTTTCTTATTTGACTCTATTTCAGTGATACCTTTGCATTATAAAAATTTTATGTTACGTTTCAAACATTTATTTACTTCCCGAGCATAAGCTAAGGAAATATTGTTTCATATTTTTCTGACATTTCATGACCCCTAGAGTACAAAAAAGTAGGTTCCCGTTTCCGTATGTCTGTGGACTATCTACGTCGATTTTTATTAGACAGATAATCTCCGATACTACTGAACCGATTGTTATCAGATTTTAGATGTATGTTATGAATATCGTGCAGTTGATAAAGCGCTAACTTAAACTATGTATAATCATCCCGACCAACAATTTGATGACGTCTTCCCAAAATTTTGTACAATATTATTTAAATTTTATAAAGTAATGCACTACTACACGTCTGCTTTATGATTCTGGCTTGAGATTTGATCACAATTACTTTAGAAAAATGTCCCGCACACGTAGAAGCAAGTGAGTCGTGTCTGAGCAATGTTTGACTTCAGGAGCAAGAGAAGTTCTGTCTAAATAATTTTAGACCAATTTTCTATTAAACTGACAATACAAATATCAAACTGACAGGTAACTTCAATGGAAAACAACAGTACTGCCAGCACAGTTTGTCACAAAATTAATTTCATGGCTGACTAAATGACGATTTTTTTTTTCGATCATATAGCATCCATATTGTACTTTAATTATCGAAAATATAAAAACTCGTAATAGGCCGTGCGATTTATTTAAAATAATGATGTTGGCATTGCAAGTATTGAACTCTTTATTTAATAGTTACTTAACGGTTAGTGTCAAATTGGACAAGGACCGCGTTGGTGTTGCCAACATCATTATTTTAAAAAGAAATTGTACGGGCTACTGGAGGAGTTTTTTCCGAACACATGGTATTATTTAACATTTTATCATATCGTGATAATCTTAAGCTAACCTAAAATTGTAAAGCCATCTATTCGATAATTCTGGAGATTGTGTATATCCAACAGAACGGCTAACAGACAGACCGACCGACTGACGGAAACGGAGGACCTTTTTATTTCCCGAGTGTAAGCTAAGGAAGTACATATTGTAATCGAGTCCATCGGACGACTGGCTACTTTCATGTATATTTGACATTTCATGGTTTTTAAAATACGAAAAAATAGATCTTCCTTTCCGTCTGGCTGCATATCTGCTGTCTGTTCCGATTTTTATTAGATAGGTAATTTCCGAAACTACTGACCGATTGTTGTGAAATTTTATGTACATGCGAAATATCGTGTAGATGGTAAAACGCGAAAAGAATAATATTAATTTTTATTTAAAATTTATAAAATAAGACACTATTGTATTTGTGATATGATATATGAGCCGTGTTGAGTTTTTGAAACTTGATATCTAGATTTTTGATTCGGTGATCAAAATTTGTCCGTTTAACCCTCCCGCAAAAAATAATTACTCATCCTACAATTTTACTGAGGAAAAGTTCTTCAAATTTGTGAGTGTTTACGCTAGACATCCAGTTTTTTTTGGGAGTGATTAATTAATTAAATAATTACTCCTTTCCATTTTCTTTTAACCGCTGATCCTTGCAATCTTAACGTGCCAATAGTCGAATCCTTTCGAAGTATAAACATAAACAGTTGAAGTTAAGCATGTATTGAGAATTGAGAATATCTACATTTTTTCCGTTAGTTATCTGCTCTAAATATATTTAATTTTGTGCGCCATTGCCAAAAATTAAAGCAAAGAGTATGCGCTGTTATTTTGTTCATTTTTCTGTGAATTTCAAAAGCATTTTGAAGTGTTTTGTTAAACATACAAAAATGTTAAATCAGTTATGAACTTAAACACTTAAAAATTACTATTACATTTGTAATAAAAAAGATGACGCCATTTGTGAAAAACCCAGCAGGGTACAATGCCAACGATTCAGTGATTTTACGGATTTTTTCTATCAACTCCAAATTCAAAATTATATGTGCGCATTCTAATGTAGAACATTAACATTGTCGTTTAATTTTTTTTAAGCATAGAACCAAATGAGTTACATAACAACTGCTACACAATTGGAAAAAAAGCCTGTTCAGCGCACTTAAAACACATAACAACTGATTTGACAAGAAAACGTTGAAATCACCAAATCCGATAACATTTAAACTGGAACCTTTTGTGTACAAAAATAAATTGTTATATATATAATGTTGTAAAAAAACAAAATCAAGGTGCTTGAAAATTTAAAAAGGAGGGGAATGTTATACGTGCGGTCTATATACGGTAGACACGCATGGCGTGAATAATATTAAGAACATTAAAACAATTTGATTTTTTTAAGAGCACATATTTGGTTTTAGTCGTCACGTTTAAATTATAATGGAGTATATTATCCATTAATATTATACAATATAATCAACCGTATGCACTAGTTATATATTCATGATAATCGGCTGAACTATACGTAATGTCTAAACTGATATCCATCTACAAGCAGTTGTAACAATGCTACGGGTTGCGACAGAAACAATATTCGCACATTTTGTTTTTATTTACTAACCTTATCATGTGGCCACAGTGTCATATTTAATAAATGTTTAAACTGAAGGATAGACAATAGAAAATTGTTGTCTAAAAGTAATTTGGAAAAAAATGGCGACGTTTGTTTTGGTTTTTTTCATCCTAAAGGATTCAGTTGTAAAAAAACTAGGTGTGTGTCACACGAAAGATCATAAGAAAGTAATTTTTCTAAGTTATAAAGTCCCGAAGGTAAAACATTCAAATATCACAATAGAGTACCGGTATATAGAAATTAGTTCAACAGTAAGTAATGGTAGTAAATAGCTACATTTAGTTACGGGTTTTTAATATGACGTGTAATTGAATAGATTATTAAAACCAAGCCTTAATCTCCAGATTTAAGCGTTTTCGACAGGTAGTTTGTTATAATCATTCATGACGACATATAATTTTCACGCTTGGTTGTTTGAAAAATGAACCTCATTAATTTCCATATTTTTCTATTATCATTTAAAAACATGTTATCCAGGATAACTGTTTTACATAGGACAATCATTTAAAGTTTCTTAAATTATGTTGTAATTGACCTGGAATTAATTTAAAATAGATTTATCATAAGATTACGCTGTTGTCGGTTGTCTTTAATTATAGTATTAAAAATACAACTTTATACAATTATTTAAATTTAAATGATTAAATAGTAGTGTAAAAATAAATAAAATAGACTGTTTGAATAAAACTTTTCTCACACTTGTTTTAAAGGGAGATGTCGGAAATTCATTCATGATAACTGGAAAGTTCACGATATTGGCAAATAAGCAAACGGTAGTGATTAAAAAGAATCAAATTATAACTCAAAACTAACAACGAGAACATTCTCAGTTCAATACATAATACTTATATATACAGTCGAAATTAATTTGGTAAAAATTAAAGTGCAAAAACATTAAGATCCTTTCTTTTATCATTGACCCGTTTCGAATTTTTTGATTTTTATTTTGTATAATGATAGTGTGAGTATAACTATTACAGTAGAAATAGAATTAACATTAAAGATAACGTAGCGAAGCATTCGCAAATGAAATGCGATGGTAAATCAGAACGAAAATCAATAGTGAAATACCAGCTCGCGAGGATTTATTGAGAGTCGTGAAGCAATTTTGCAAAAATAAAACTACCGTGTTTATTCCAGCTAGAAGTAATACACAAGTCAGCACATAGCTTCTTCTGACTAGAAGATTTTATGATTTATACAAGCTTGAACTGTGAACTTTATAACATACGTGATTGGTAAAGGACCAGGGAATCAGATCAATACTGAGTTAGCTATTTTCAGGCTCCTAGATAAATGGTGTTTTTTTTATGTTTAGTTCACAATAATTTTACCGAAGAAAAGTCAAATGACACATGAAAATATATAAAAAATTGTACCAATTTCCGAAAAACTTGGCGTTGATTTAAAAGTCCACATTCTATTACGGAGTATATTCTACTTTTTATATCGAGGAACTGAAGTGATTCTTTTTACCCTTTTATGCTCGGAATAAAACGAGGGATAGGAATTGAACGGCACTTTAGTCCTATGTTATATACGATATGTACTCTAACACCGAAAACACAAAAAATTGTCGACGGGTTTCGTCAACCACGTTGGCATGTCAAATCAAAAAAGATGGTTCTCCTATTGTTAAAAAAACTTGAGATACAACGAAACTTATAACATTCTGTTTGACTTATCAAGTTAAAAGTGAACCATACGTGATAATAGAGGCTGTAGGTGTAAACAAGACGAGCTATATTGCGTTTATTGAAACGTTAGGTTCACATAATATAAGTAGTGGAAAATCATGAATTTAACTGATAATAATAATTTTTAACCAAAGAAACTGCTGTCCGAGATATTGAGTCTTTTATCCTTTCAAGTTAAAGCATGCTGCGAAAAACGTTGCGAGAGTTTGTGAAGAGGTGTTCGAATTAATCTGTCAAACAATACACAGAAAACTGACTTATTATTTTGGTATGTGGAGAATTCATTAAACAACAAAATTCAAACCACAGAAAATATTCAGAGGGGCGATGAACTGTCTAACCTTCATGTCAGTGCAGTTAATTACTCAAGAAAAAAAAATACTTATGGATTTTTAAACGATTTCCATCTGTACGTTTTTAACATGATAATTCCACAAATTTCACTATGCATAAAAAAATCTTTGAATACGTAGACCAAGTTGAATTTTCATTTTTTGTTGTCATAAAAACGTTTCTAGGAAAAAGTGCTACTTATTCCCTTTTGAACGTCATTCCATGTTTTTTTTTAAATACTTAATTGAGAACTTCTTTACAAAGAGAAAACAAAAAAACACGCAAAATTAGTGACAACTTACAGGATACTAAAATGCATCCATTATTGATAGAAACTGTGTATTATAATACATATATAAAATCAAATACCGGTATTGAAAAAAAAAGTACAAGAAACTAATTAATGTTTAATTAGAAAAATAAACATGGAATATTCTGGTGTCGAAAGAAAATGCCTATGAAATTTTACAACTCACAATACAGAAATGCATTTCTAAAGAAGTGAAAAGCATTCCCAGTGTCCCAGTACAAAATTCGATAAATTCCGTAAGACAATTCTAGAGATTGTCCGGAACAAGCAGAAAATGGAATCACGAAATAACTTGCTTTGGATAAAAGAAGTTGCGTAATATTGAAACTCGAATCCTTGTAAGCTAACGTGGAAAAATAAAATACATTCTTAGCAAACGATTAAATCCCTAACGTCTATATATATCTACATGAAAAAAATCCGTTACTAACCCAAAGTGAGCCGTTTGCCGTCGATAAACGGATAATAATATCCAAGGGTTAGGGTGCCACCGTTCTTTAACAAAACATAACGTACCTTGCTCCCCATATCATTAAAATGCGTGGTGAGTGACGCGTGCCTTAAATAAAAATGTCGCCGAACAATGAAAGAATGTACACGCACACACACAATGAATTACAAGACACGAGAGAAGCAGAAGGAAAAACCGAAACCACAACAAATAAGATCTTATCGGAAACTGTCACCTGCAGAGAAGTATAATTTATATTTTAACGGCATCTGCCTTCGGATTCATTCCGCAATATCGCAGAGAGGGTTTATACAGGTGGAATAGGGCGGAAAACGACTCGTTCTTTTACTGCAACGATATGAGGATTTATCGTCCTGTGACGTTTTTATCCGGAGAAGGAAATGTTTGTTTCCTGATTTAGGTGTTGGGGAAGTTTTCTCATTAGGGACCGGGTCGCTGGAGAGCAATTTTTAACGCACCGATTCATAAATCCACTCTTAATTAAGGGTTCTCATGTGAGAAGTAAATTTAGATTTTGGATTCTAAAATCGGCAGCCGAGTGTGGCATATGTAATGTGTGGAAAAAAGTGTTATTGACACGGATTTTTTAGAAACGGAAATTGATTTTAATTGTTTAATAGAGTTTCTGTTTGAGTGTAACGAGGCTTTCAACTGAATTAGCCTTTAATTTTTACTTCCTGATTGATAGCTAAGGGAAATATTGTAGTAAAATAACGCCCTCTTCTTGGAATTGGGAAAACGAACACTCAACGTGGAGCAAAAAAGGACGATTTTAATTTTTTAACGCAGAAAATTAATATGTGCATGTACCGATTTGGTTTTATCGTTGGTGTTAGCAATGGATTATCGAATTTCCACTGAAGTTATGGAAACATTACAATCAGTAAGTGTTCCATGTATTAATTTGTAAATATCAAAGTTTAGTGTATTTATATCCACGAAAAAATTGATGGCGTTGTATTAAAGACAGAAATTATTTGTTGAGCAAAATAGTGCACGTCAAAATGGAATTCACATCAACGCAATAATGGCAAACTTGGTTTTTCATTATTTCCTTTTCCGTTGCATCTGTCGCACTAATAAGTATCTATTTTTAGGTGATAAAATTAAGTTTATGAGAAAACCGTGCATTATTTTTATCTGTCTTTATGAGTGATCGGATGAATCTGTATATTTACTACAAGGTACGATAACGATAAAAACTACGTACGATAAAAACTACGTACATGTAACCTTAAAAACTATACCACTAACTTATCATTACGCAAAAATGTATAGATAGACGGATCACATGCTTGAATGCTTTAGATATAGATAGCACCGGAATGTGTTATCAAATTACCATAACTCACCAATAAAGCCACAATAAGGAAATTGCAATTATAACAACTGTCACTTTTTATAGATAATCATAGATATTATTGTCGAACAAAATTTTATCAAAACAGAAAAACGTGAGTTTTTTCCTAGTAAGATAATACATTTTTCAAGGCTGCCTGTAATATATCGAGTGATTCAGTTTGGTGTTCACCTACATTTATTTTTTGAATTACCACCGCAAATATGGCTTCTGCTACATTGGATTAAATGGTTTTAAAACAAACGCTTACTTTAATGCAGATAATAGTTTGTGATTACTGATCTAATTACCAAGTGTTTTCGGAAGTGAATATGTCATGGTACATAAGTGTAAAATTGTTTCTTCTGGTTACAGGGATGTAATTATTATTTTTAAACTGAATGTGTATTTGAAAACTTAAATTCGGAGATACCTCTACTAGCTTGTGAACATAATTTCTTATTAGCTAATTCGATTTTTCAAAGATTTTCCTTTTATAAAGTATGCAAAATGCACCCAATTGTTTAAATAAAACCACAAAAAGAAGTTACACTCCGGTTACAAATTATTCAATCCTACAATCTTACTCCCTTGCCTTCTTGTTGCGGCATTTTTTAAAGAACGGATGTGCATCTTACAAATCTGAAAAAAAAGATACTGTTCAATTTCATAGTTTAATAATATGTTTGAAGTTATTAAAGATAACTATTTTTTTACCTTAATAAGTTGGTCAATTTATCTTCTCTTATTATGTGTGTACATATGTACGAAAATATCAGTTTTTGATATAAAAACAAAAAACACTACCGGGTAAATTAGAAACTTGATAGGTGCATTTCTTCTTCGGGGAAGCGTAGTTTATTTTTAAATAATTTAATCTAGTGTACCGCAGGTCATAAATGTATTAGTAGTTCCATAGATAAGCGAGTGCGAACACCAAATTGAATTATCAGTGTAACTGTTGCGAATGAGTGTATTTTAATCCTTCAGAATGTTGGAAGTCCGACCCTCACCACAGACCCACTTTCGAACAAATCCTCCAGGATCTAGACATAATAGTCCACTCAGCGTTCACCCAAACACCGCACGAGAGTTTTCATATAATGCAAGATGACTGGAGACAAGAGATTGAAGAGGTCCTCTTAGAACTTCGCAGGAAAGAGAAGGTAAGTCCCGCTTGCGTTCATAAAGCTTCATTATTTATCCTTTGCTTTTCTCATTGGCTGCTTACCTTGAACATCCCAGGCATGTAAATCATTTGAAGAGGTAATTAAAAGAGTTCACTGTTGAAAATTCAAAATTGATTAAATATTTGCGTTTGTCTCGACAGGAGTTGCGTTGCAGGGAAGAGGATCTCAATAGGGCTCAAATGAAACAGAGGCTGCACGAGGAACAACTGCGGCAGAAGGAGCAGGAGTTGCAGGCGAGGGAAATCGACTTGTTAGAAAGGGAATTACATTTTATGATAAAGCAGCAGACCCCTACCCCTATTAAGAGGAAAGGTAGGTAATGGAGTACTCTGCTTTTGACTTTGCGTGCCATAATTCAGCGTTACTCACTCTTTCCTTCCACATTTTCTTTGTCCAGGAAAATTCAAGAGGTCGAGGTTAAAACTGCTGAAGAAGGAACCCGGAAGCAACATCAGCTTTCCTTCGGACTTTCGACACACGATAACGGTACAACATAGCACTTTAGACCATAAAGCCATCACTGGGGTAATTTCACCGCATAGTCCTCCAGGATCGCCGGCCATCGCCAGGCTAAGAGCGATAGCACGTGAGTTTACCGCATTAGCAACCGCCATTTCAAGATTTACTCATTTCGTGCCAATTCCCGAAGTGACTAAGTCTTTCAGTACTCATGATTTTTCAGCATGGTTTTCCGCATGAGATTTTGTCATTATACGAGTGTGTGTTTATTTAGATTCGGTTGTGCTTAAATTAGTTCGTGTTTTGTTTTAGTTAAAATTATTTTGCTAATTTAGATCGGTTAGTCTTCACTGTTTTTTAAGTATTTCTTTAATTTAATTGGCAGTTAGTTGCGTTTGGAGCACACTTAATTGATTTTATCTCACGATAATCGAATTTTAAGGGGGGAAAAATAAAATTATTTCGGATGATGATTTAAGCTCGTTTTAGATACAAAACTCGTAAAGTCTTCGTTCCAAACGATGAGCGTAAATCTGGTATGCGGAATATTGCCTCGAAGATGTACTCACGTGATGTGTTTCTAAATCGACAACTACTAAGCTTGATAAATGTGGACCATCTCGGTGACGCGCTATTAATCGTTAAGGAATAATGTGTTTTTTAACGCGTTTAGTCGATCAATAGACTACGAGAAATTAAGAATAGAGTTGCAATTTCTTCGGTTGTTTTCCAGGGAGGGCGTTTTTATATTCCGTCGATGTGACCTTGTTTAACGCTTCTCTCCGCGAGCTACATAAATATTAGATTTTGTAGATATTGTAGAAAAGAAAGACTGTGTGAGAAGACATTACATTTTCCACCCTCGCACATGAATTTCCATTTACACGGTCGTCTTATCTCGTAAAATGTGGAAGAGATGACAATTGTACATACTTTAGAACTGGAATTTCAATGGTATGTACTGTTTGTGTTCACCATGGGGAGACATTATACTGGAGCTAAGTTTTACGTTTTATCACCGAATTTAAATATGTACAAAATTTCATAAATAGAGGTTGTGATTCTAATTTTAATATTATTATAACATTCTGTTCCTTGGGTAATTATAACATGAAAATATTGAATAATGCTTCACAGTTTGTTAGGAACGTTACTAAAATTTTTAAAGCTACGCCTGTTACATGTCATAAAAAAATATTAAATATTTTAACATAAAAGTCGAAGTAACATAAACAGGGTGGCTAATACAAAAAATAACTATAGGTAAAACAGAAACGCAGTTTTTAACTCTGTTCACCTTTATGTGATAGCGACAATTTCTTATGGATTCTTGATGTATTAAATATGTACTAATAATCAGCATTTATTCGTTAATCCAAAGATTATTTAAAATACTTACCATACACTTGTTGACAAATTTTTAATCTATGATAAAATACTAGGTTAAAATTGTTAAAAGTTTCAGGTGGTGTTTGTCTGACACGTTTTTCGAACTCATAAAAATTATTTGGATTTCTTAATAAAGACTTTACTTTTGAAATAACCTCAAAGGTGGAAATCCATTGGCATTAAATCAGGTAATCACGTTATCGATTTCGTAAACAGTTTTTCGCTCTCTATACATATAAAAAAAGATTTGTATGATTTTACCATTCATTAAATACAAAATAGAAAATTAAAAAGGGTTAAAGCTTAAGGTCAAATTACATCTTGTAGTGTATTTTTATTATTGCATGTGTATTAATTAATTAATTATTATTTTTTGAAAATCGAATTGTGGAAAGTAGCAAAGCTCATTTTTATTTGTATTATGCTTAACAGATGCTTTGTTATTTTCTGAGCAGTTTTATATTTAAAGATTTTTGTGCAATTGCCATGTTTTTTTAAGTACTTTCATGTTGCGTGATATTTTTGATCAGGTAAAATTTGGAGTAGTAGCAACAATGACATTGACACTTCATCTTTGAATACCCTTTTGTTACAAAGTTCGTGTGACGGCAAAATCAAGCAAGGAATTTAAAAGACTTTTAGTTACGTCGTAAATCTGACTTATAATTTAATAAGTGCACATCTGATTTTTCAAAAACTGTGTAAAGATGTCTTCAAAATTGATTTAGTGATCACGAATATGAACTAAAATTATTTATTCATTTATTCCACAAAATTGATTGATAACACCATGCCAGAAAAAGTATTGACTTCGTTTAACCGAAAGTACATTCTGGAAGCCATCATTGCTTGTGAATCTTTTGAAAAATATATCCTTCGTTATGATTTAGAGAGAATTTCTATATAAATAACTTCACAGAGTTTTGAAATTTAATTTTCCAATCATCATCTCTAATTACGGACGAAAAAGCAAGCCCAATATTTAATTTGGCAGATGCTTTCCATCTCATAATCTTAATTGATCCGGTCCATGAATTATAATTAGTACAGAAGCAAACCGTATTCAAAAAATATATATGATTATATTTTTAAAAGTTAACGCAATGTTGTTAATTAAAAAGGAGTTTCATATAATAAAAAAAAACTGCAAACTCGAAATACGAATGTGCATATTTAATTATTTTCATGGATATCAAGATAAGGTTAAACAGTTGTTAAAGTTGTAACTTTTGATAACTTGTAAAATTTCTTATATCATCTGAATATAAAGATTGCCTTTGATCTAAATATTAAATAAAATTAGTATGGAATATTGGCTCATATCGTATAAAATGTTTAAAACGACAGATGTTTGTCCATTACATGTACCAAGTGTCCCAAGTTTGCTTCTTCAGAGTATAGCTCGTTGGCCAGTTGCGACATCAATATGCGGTAAGTTTAATGACAAGCTGAGTAGTATATAAAATTACGAGTTCAAAGTGAACCTCAATGTTCCAACCCACAAGTTTTTAACGTCGAATGTCAAATAAAGTCATACATTTTTTGTAACATTTGTATGTGCACAGTTGTACGCTGTATTTCGTGCTGTAAAAATAAAGCTCTCGTCTATGTTATTCTAGTAGGTATTCAAACGTTTATTATGAACTCGTTCCAGATTGTTTAAGGCAATGTTTTGGAATACCATACTAGGTGTATTGTTTGAGTGTCGCTTGCACGTTTAGTGTTGAAGTCAGGGTTGGACTGTTCATAAGCCCAGATCCAGACCACCCTCGTCGCTATTAAATACACAACCTTTAAATAAGGAAAAAAAATCGAAAGATACGAAATAACAGAAAATATTAGATAATAATAAATATCGCTTTTAACGTATGCTGGTAAACGAGTTGTTGCCTCGGGAACAAATTTTGGGACATCAGGTATAATTAATTTAGTCGTAACTGCTAACCGAATTTTTATTAAAAAATAATCTAGTAGGTTCTGCGTTTTACAGCTTACCGAACAGAAAACCGATATGAAGTTTTCCACGAGAATAGCCAATCCTGACTATAAAGCGATAACTATCAAAATTGTGAAGTCTAGCAAACATTCTATTGTTAAAATAGATAAACTTACGATCGTCCCCTCCGATGACCACCCACTAAAAAATTGTCTCATTAAAGCTATTTAAACAGTGAGATATTGATCGTATTTAATGATACCGATAACTTTAAAGTCAGAGTTGTTAATATTTGTAGGGAAATACACTGCACGTCAAAGAAAAGGAACCACCTTAAACAGCTCATTTCAAAAACGGTAAATAACTCGTATTTTTTAATATGGATATAACTGCTTTCTATCCGTGATTTATCAGCCACCGATAATTTGGTTCGATAGAGATTGTAAATGTGGTTTAAAGGTATGGTCAGTTGTAGAACAGTGTCCACTTTTAATAATTTTTAAAGCACAGAATACATAAAATATGTCTTTGTTTCCAAAATGAAAATATAAATTAATAATTTCTTGATTTTTTTTTTCAATTAAATTTGTTGAAAACTGAAAGCAAGTAATTTTCAATTGTAATTTTTTGGAGAGCGATGTTCAAATTAAATTTTTAATCAAATATACATACATATCAAAAATGTTTCAACGTTTGAACTAAGTATTTTGTGCATAAAATATAAAAAATTACGTTTGTATTACAGCTTATTCTTCCGGAGTTAATTTAAATAACTCAAAATACGATTCGATTTTTTATACGTTTGTCAAGGTAAATTCTGCAAAATTCTAGACCTCCATCTGTAATTTTTCAATATGAACATTTTTACGGTGGAAAATTTTAATTAAAAACTTGTGTTTAATATTATTTTTAATTTTTAAATATGTAAAAATACAGTGTTAGTCAGTTGATATCTCGTTAATTATTATTATAGATTAAAAAAATAAATAAAAATTGTATGGTTCTTTTTCTAGCATAGACGAAAATTGTTTTCAACATACTTGTGTAGTGGAAAATAATGAAAGTGTATGTTTAAAGAATCGTACGCTTTATTTATTTATTTTTTTTTTCTTTTCTAATGTTAAATGAGATCTAAAGGATCGCGAAAAACGTTACTACGTATATGAATTTCGATAGAAACATTCATTTGATTTTAAATTGTAGCCCTAAATGAGTCAAAACCTCAATAATAATTAACGGGAAGCGCGTAACCTTCCATCGCCAGATAGTTTGGGCATCGCATATACAGGGTGAATCACTAAGCGCGCATTCCTCGATATCTCATTAATTATTATTAGAAATAGAAAAAAAAAACTCAAAGACTAAAATTGTACGGTTCTCTGAGGACTATAGTTCAAAATTATTATTTTTAACTTTATAGTGTTTTGTTTTTAAGACGTAACACATGACTTAGTTTTTTTTTTATGAAACGCCCGATATATATTTTCACATACTTTGATTGACTTCTTTCCTCTTAGGCTTTACAACCACAGTTTATTGCAACGTTACCACGTTATTCAAATTTTTTTGAAATTTTTTGGCAATGGGAAAGTTCACAAAAAAATCACAATAGGGTATTTTTAAAATACAAGATTCTTAATTATTACAATTTTCAGGTATTGATATTTCAGGTTTTACTAAGTAGAACACCCTATATTTTATTACTGCATCTTATTTTATTTTTTATTCTATTTTTTGCTGAGTATTTTCATATTATTTTAAAGTTGATAATTCATGTGATTTTTTACTTTTTAAGGGACACAATATTAGAAGAATGAGGACAAAAAATTGAGTAAGATACAATAATAAAATACAGGTGTTCTATTTGAAAAAAACTGAAATGTGGATATTTGAAAATTGTACACTTTTAGATTTCTTTTTATAAGCACTGTATATTAAAACTGAATTTAGTTGATCCCACTACAGAGCGCGTATCTTTGTTTATCCTTCCACAAAATATAGTAAGACAGATTTTAAAAAGAAGCCTATTGCGATTTTTTTGTAAACACTTTCATTGCCAAAAAATTTCAAGAAAATGTCGCTTCGGAATTTCAAAACTAAACCGTGATTGTAAAGGCTAAGAATACGTCAATCAAAAATTCAAAATATGTAAAGATATATAGGGTGTTTCATAAAAAAAAAAAAACTAAGTTGTGAGTTCTGCTTTAAAAATAAAACACTCTGTATAGTCTAGAGTGTAGTCGTTAAAAAACTTTGGTTTTTGACTTTTTTTATATTATAACTGACCAGATATCGAGGACCGCGCGCTTAGTGACTCACTGTTTAAATTAGGTGAATCCTAACTATTTTTGTCATATTCTGCATTAATGCTAAAATGGATTAAGGTGTTTTCAATAACATTTATTGCAATTCTCGCCTGTTTCGTTTTCAAAATAATCGTTGAATTACTCAACCAGTGTAAAAATAAAAAACGATTTGTTCTGATGACAGTTCGATATAAGAGATTATAGTGTTTCTTATGAAATATTCAACACTCTGCATTAGTTTAAAAAAGGCGGTTGTACTGATATTCCTATAATCACATTACAACGTGTATTTCAAATATTGTTCGAACTTATTCAGAAATGAAATGAAATCAATTTGCAATCAATGTTTGTTCCTGATTTAGCTGGACTTATAAAATGGGTCACCACTTTTCGGTAGTGTTGACTGCTGCATTTAGTAATTAATCGCTACCAATAATTGGTCCAATGACCCAAAAAAATCAGTGCCTGTTGTAAAAATTATTATTTGAAAGCGTCCATCATTAAAGCATCTCTCGCGAGCTTACAAAATTCGAGGCAATATTGTAGCTACCATACCGTCGCTCAGCATCCAGAGTATTTCATTCGCGCGCCGTCCACGTAACCCAGCCGTCAAATGACACCGGTCTCGCGCGCCGCCATGCACACATACTATCCAACAACCATCCCAACGACCGCAATTACCAACCACCATCCCCGCATAACACCATCAACCAAACAAAGCAGCATCCTAGAACACTGAGGGCAGAGCAGGCTGTTGTTATATTTCAGTACCAGCGGACGGCGTAAAGGGGAAAACGTGGGGTCCTAGCACGTGCCACCAGCGCGAACGGGGCCAGATAACGATGCTCAGGCCGGCGCCGAACAGGAGCGCGATCTGGTCGAAAAGCGCCCCCAATCTGGACAAGACGAGGAGCACCGTGCTGAGCCGGCCGCCTCACGACATAGGTAACACATCCCCAATTGACAGTAACAAAAGCTCTGGTCTGCAGATGTTAATCAGTAAAGTGTCGGCTCTAACAACCCTCTCGGAGTTCAGACGGTTCGGAAGCACGCTGCGTAACAATAGTTTTCCCACAAATAACGCTTCGCTAATGCAAAAGCCGGGTTTGGGACAAAACGAGCGGCTGAGCAGGTCGATCGGTAACATTACTGAGACGCATTATGATACTGTGTTTAGTACTGATAGCTTCGTGATAGCGAGGGGCGTCAGCAACTCGGTCAATTTTGGGAAGGAGTATGCTGATGTCAACGACAATCACGACGATACCGAACGGTTACTCAATTGATTCGATTTTTAGAGTTTTAGCGCGTTGTGATTTTCTTTATTTTAATTATTTTGGTTCTGTTGCACCACGCTGACGCTTTTCACCTTTCTTTCTTTTTTTCCTCGATTTACGAGAGCATTCCAAGCGATTTTTACACCTACGAAATTTTTGGACTGACATTCAAATTACTTCAACTTCCTTGTTGAACATACTGTTTTGGAATATTTGGAATCATTACTGGGTGTTCCGATATTAACACAAACAAGTTATTATTCCCGAGAAACCGAAAATTTCAATTGTGTCCAAGCATTTCCGCAGCTACGCTGTCATCTTTTTGGATTGATTTTAGATGACAGCGTAACGGCTGAAACGCGTCGACAGTTTGTTGAAATTTTCAATGTCGGGTGGAAAACGTGTTTGTGTTGGATTGAATTGAATTGAATTTATAAATAGTTAAATTTTATGCCATTTTTCATTTTGCAGAAAATTTACACAAAAAGTATGATTCAACAAAAAGTGACGATTTTAAAATTTCGAAAGATTGATTGACACATGTAGGTCAATATTATTTTCATTTATTTCTTATCTTAGGAATGCGCTAATTGCTACCTAATGTTTCTAAAGAATTTTAAATTTGACGTAAATTTTATAAAGTATAAAGCTAGAACTAAAAAAAGCAAAAGTAGTAAAAATTTCAACTTTAAATAATAATAGTGATAGTGATTTATTACCCAACAGCTGGATTAGTAGGTAAATGCTTAAAAAAGATTTTATTATAATTTAAATTGTAACAATAAATAATACTAAATATTTTATTTACCGAATCTACAAAACACTATTTTTTGATCTTAATATCGTCACTAGTTTATGACGTACCATTTGAGTGCCATTCCAGGACTTCGGCGTATTTAAAATGCTGTCAGTTATTAGTTCGTGTCCAATTTTCTTTGCTCATTTCAACTGCCACTAAATACGGAAGATGAAAGCAAACGTGATTGGAAGCCTCAAAAGTCTGATTTCTCGAAGCACAGCTTTTCTATGTGTTCCTATCTATTTAAAATTCTAATCGGGTTCTTTCGTTAAGGCGTTTCCGAGGAAAATCTTCCGAATGTAATGTGTAAGTCAGACCCTCCCCCCAAATGATAAGTTTTGATTTTTTAGTTTTAAGCACAGTAGCATGTTTTGGATTTAAATATATTTTAATTGATTTTATTTCAGCTTAATTTCTTAAGTAGTACTTTGTTTTATATTATTATATTATTTTGTGTAGTTATGTAATTTAGACCTATGCTGTTTTTATTTAATAAATTGAACGGCTTTTGAACATGTTTCGTTTTGTTAACGAAAAGCTTGTCCTATTGTGATTTTTAAGTGTAAGTGAAACCTGTTCAAACTGCTTTTTCATTGGTGATGGTTCTATTTTATGTAATTTGATTTTCAATAAACATTGTAATAATGTTTTTTAATTGCTGTATTTTATTTTATCACTCGCATGTCCTTAATTCTGGGATTTTTCGCACTAAGAAATGCAGTGACAGTATGGTGTACACAATTACACATGGTTGCACCAATACTGATGGCGAGATTTTAACAAACCCACCAGTATTGATGCAAACGGTTTATTGAAAAATATTCCAACAGAATTTAAACACATTAACGAAACCGTTGCTTTTGTTTTAACTCACTAAATTCTTCAAAATCTTAATACATTAACAACGGATGCTGGAACATTTTCAGTCTTTGTAGTCTTTTGAATTTAATTTATTTGCTTCTATTCGTTATATTTGTCAATACTGTGTAGTAGCTTGAAGTGTTTTGTGTAAAGTTTGAATGTGTGAAAGAATCGCTAGAGTGTTTATTTGGGTTAACAGATTTCATTCCGCCTGAAGATTGGGGCCCTGAATATCCCATTCCAGGAACGATTAGGCATAACGTGCCCATTCCCACTCTGTACAGTGCGGACGGTAAGTTTAATTCTCTTCCGTTATACAACCCCTAACAACACTCGAACAAACCAACGAACGTTGTTTTGGGTCCTTTCTTTCCTAATCACATCTGATGAAACCATTCAACTGAGCTTCGTATGATTTTAATTTATAGGTCAAAGGTTGAAACCAAAGTTAAGTATTGTGGAATTAGTTTTGTACAACATCGCTGCCATGTTAGCGGGAGTCGCCTCAGGTTATGACGTAAGACTGTCGAACGTGTCGCCGTTACATCCAAGGCTGCAACCAAACAGGTACTTATTAAATAATCAAGTAATAATTTTTGGGATAAGTTATGCGAATTTATTTTTTATTTCTTTAAAACATCTTCAACCTTGAAATGAAAAAAATGTGCAGGTTGTACCTGTTTTACATCAGTACATTTCGCTATTCACTTTTCACCTCTGATGTAAATAAGTGTAAACGGTTCTTGTATTGTTACTTATTAGCGACTGTTTGCACAACTGAAAATTGTGTCAGTATATTTGCTACTTTAAAATTTTTGTTTTGAATAAGTCGTATATTGTTTACGAGAAAATAGTGTTTATTAACGGAAATGGTCACTTGTGTAAGTATCGACGGATCAAAATTTTTGGACATATTGAGGGTACATAATCTTTTCTAAAATGAAATAGGATGTGGCGATCATTTTAAAACTTGAGAAAAAATATAACTGCGAAGATCATTTTTGTTTTGGTATAAAAAAGTACACGGGGAAAGTTAGTTTTTGATTAGATGTGACAACATGATTTTTTACGCACACGAATTAAATTATTAATAAAGACGGGTTTCATTTTAGAAATAATAGCTAATAATTTCTTGCTCTTGTAAAATGAATTGATACGTATTGTATTTGTAAACAAGAACCAAGATAATTTCACTTAAGAAAATTTAGAGTTAACCATTTAAACTGTAATTATTTTTCAAAGTTTATTGAATTAAAGTATAAAACAGTTAAAATAGAAAGTACATTTGCAATATATCTGAAAATGATACTGAATCTGTAACACTAAACTTGTTTTTTTTTTTTCTTTCATTATTATTATTACTTAGTAATAATCAAAAACGTGAATTAGAGTATAGGCCCCTACTTACCGTCGTTATCCACTCGTTTTCTATTAGAATTCAATGCATTTTTATGTTCCCGTATTCTCACATTTTGTCTCGGTCTCGGCGATCGAATGCTCTCTCGAGTATAACGTGTTTTTCCACTCCGGAGATTATTATTTTTAAGATACGTATATTTGTGCACAATTTTTGTGATCTGAAGCCTTGGCGCTTTGGTATTAATATTTTATTCGGAAATTGCTTAAACTTTGCGATATTACCGTCAGTAATTCTTTACTTAGGACACTTGAAAGGTTTATTACTCTCAAGTTTTCACTTCGACCTTTAAATTCTGTTTCAACTTTGTGTGACTTAATTTCCCTTGTTGCTAACGGTTCATTATATATTTTCCCAGGATGTCTCATTCATGTTTCTTCAGTGTACAAAATTCCCTTTAGTATCTTTTACAATTTATGACGATGCCACTTTGTGTCCACACCTTCAGGTGTCATTTCATTTTTTGCGGATCCTTTCTAATCACTTTACATTTTTGTATTTTACTTACCAGCGGTGTTATATCTTATTTTTTTGAGTTTCCTATGTGAGAATTAAATGTATTTATTTTATAGTTACGCTTAAATCATCGTAGTAAATAAACTTCAGGTGTAATGTAATTAGTTGAATAGAATTATTAACCCTGTTGATTATCGAAGAATTGTTTGTTTGTTTTTGCAAATGTAATGGCATCTATCTTAATTGTTTTTATGTAATCTAAACGTCATCGTTACGGATATAAAGGATTGCATTCTTATACAGTCTTCCAGAAAAAGTATCCTAATTGAAATACGTGCACAAGGCGAGGACAGTTAGTGATGTAGGGCATAAGATCATGACTTTAATGAAGAATTTTTTTTCTGTCATACATTTGGACATTTCCATAACGCAATGAATTTGGTTTTGTTAGGTAAATATTTACAAACAGTTTGACGATTCACATTCACAGTTAGCATAATGAACAGGTTGACAAAAATATGTAGATACATACATCTGAGTAAATATAAATTTAATTTTGTATTTTAATTGCATGTTCTCCCTTAATTTATACCCAGGAGCTGCCGCGGGCACAATATTTCGATAAATTGCTGACTGGAGGACTTCTCATTTAAAGTTTGTAGAACAAGAACTATGAACAACAAAGTTCATATTTCATTAAATGTACATATCTGAATAATTGAAGTTTCAAGAAATTACTAAAGTTTAGTACTGGTTTTTTAAATCGGAAGTGAATGTAATAAATAAAGCTATTGACATTCAGAAAAATGCATATAAATCAAGTAATTGTTTAGCATAAGAAGTATTTCATGTACACGTCGATGAAATTGGATTCGTGTGTTTAAATAGTGAAACAACTAACTTATACAATTAATTATTCGTTATGTTTTTGTTTATAACAATTGTAATTAATACATACCATAAATAACTTCTGATAGATCAGTGAAAATAAAGTATTCAATTCATGTTATGAATGTAATTGAAGTTTTTGTATACTTTTTAAACAATTTCACGTTTTTTTTTTGGGTTGTAAAGTTACTCTTTATCAGCGCGCTAGTAAAATTTTAACCAGTGAAGGTGCGCATCCACTGAAAAATATCGGTTTCATCTTAGTTCAGTAAAACTAATTTTACCAATGGTTCAAGATGTATTCAATGAATGCATTTGCGTTTTAATTAACTTCACTGATCATCATAGGTTTTAATTTTCAAATTCGTAGTGAGTGCAGTGCGTATCTTTATTGTAAGTGAACCTGCTAATTTTGACGATGCAAATGAAATGGCTCTTTTCACTGTGTTGAATGTAGCATAACAGATTCAATAAATAGTGGCTTGGTGTCAGATAACTAAATAAAAAAATACAATGCGCATGCGTACTTGATAGAACCCCTGTAACTTTTTTATTCTTAAAGATAAACCTGGAGTTCTTTGAGCAGATTTGTATCATATTAAAAGCCTCCCTTTTTTATCATCACTTCCGGTAGAACCGGAAATGACGTCAACTTTATTTTTTTTATTGAACACTAGGTATATTTTTTCATAAATGGAAAGATGGATTTTTTCTAAAAAATAAAAAGCAACCAATATCTTAAAATCAGTACTTCAAAAATGTTATATCAATCTATAGCTTGAAAAATTGACAGTCATGTCATTTATTCACATAAGTGATCTTTTAAAATGATTGAAATTTGCTCAAAGAACTATAAGTTTATCTTCCAAAAAAAAAAATTACAAGGATTGTATCAAATGAAAGAAATACGTGGTGTTCTCACATAATCTAAAGCATCAAGTTTTCAAACTGACATCAAAATTTAATTTTTTTTTTAATTTGATAAATACATCGCGTGGCCATTTTAATGCACATTATTGCCATCCTACCAACAAAACATCTATTACTTATACTGGTAGTTGGTTATTCATTGATATCTTATAGCCTAGTCGCCAGGTACTTGCATTAAATATATATTTTTTTAATTTCATGTTTATGAAGGTAAGATGACATAAATTTGAACCACAATAAATATAGTTACATTATTTAAACTTGTAGTAGTACTTCTTCCAACAGCTGATGTGGAGTATTTATTGGAAAATACATTAATTGTTTCGATTAATACATATACTCATAAACATCGTTGCATTAAGGCCAGTCGCTATGTTTTCTGCATGAAATTTTGGGTACATTTAAATATAGGCTGTCCATAACTTTCTTTATATCGGGTGTCTGAAAAATGACGGATTAACTCCCCACTACACTCTTAACAATCAACTGGTGAGTCTAGGAAAAATCCTCTCTCCTTTTCACATTTTGGTGATTGATGATTTTAAAATTGGTTGTTTTGCTACGTTTAACAACTAAACAACACATTCATTATCACAGTAAGTAGTAATAAAAACTTTTAGTTCTCGCCCATGACCATGTTTAATTGCCATTTCAGTTAGAATGTACAAAGATATGCTTATGTTATTTTTGTAATAATTTGCTAAACTTCCATTTGACAACATTGTTTGCCTAAAGCCGGCCATTCACGTTCCAACGCCGCAATACGATTGTATCGGATACAATTGTTGTACAATTCTGTTGAAAAGCAGTAGTACACACACATGTTACGACCTTGCAGTTAAAAATTTGCGATCATGGTGACAACATGTCCGACGAAATGACGAAAATGTACTTTTATAGCTGCTCTCACGGTTTGAATAACGTACACTGTCCAATCGTGTCCACACATGATCAAATTTCCATCCAATACAACACGATTGTACTGCCGCAGACAGACTTGTTCACCAACCGTCCACATCCAACTGATTTGCTTGATCGCATACACAAACGTTCAAAAACAATTCAGTTTTGTCGTATCCAACACAATTGTACTGCGGCGTTGGAACGTGAGTGGCGGGGTTTATAAAGTGAAGGTACAAATCAGCAAAAATCGAGTATGCAGTTAAAAATATTTGACGTATCGAACATTGTCAAAGTTTTCAAAACCCTACGTTTAATATATTCGCAGTGAATTTTAGGTCCCTTACAGGTGTTTTATTTTCGAATAAATTCTGTTGCTGGATGAACCTGAAAAAATCTTTTGAGCTTTAAGTGTTTTATTTTTTACGAATTTGGAAAAGTCGAGTGCCGCATTGTTAACCCTAACAATGCGGCATGGGGGTACCCACCCATGGTGTATTATTTTGGGAGCCCATGGAGATTTTTTTGTAAATTATTTAAAAGAATTTTGGGGAATTTTGGTGCTCTATTTTTGAAGAATTCTGACCTAACCTGTTTTTGAGTTAATTTTGGGACCCCGTTGTTTTTTTTTTTTTTTTTTTGAAAATTTAAAACCATCTTCAGGTTCTAGATATTCCTGTTTGGAAAGAATCGGAAAGTGCTTTGGAGCCTGTAGTGTCTTTTCTTATAATGACGTAATTAAATTTCTTAGAGGATACATCATGTGATAAAATCACTCTTACCTTGGCAGGCCTCACCCACCCGCCCTCTCTTTTCTTAGAGTGTATGTCATTTGCCAAAATCAGTCTTATTTTAGCAAATACTAGCCCCGCCCGCCCACCCTCTTTTTTCTTAGAGGGTATGTCATTTGTCAAAATAGGTCTTATTTTAGTAGCTACTAGTACCGCCCACCCACCCTCGCTTTTATTGGAAGGTATGTCATTTGCCAAAATGGCAGTTTTGTGATCATACTTTTTTTTGTTTTAGTGAAATTTTGCATTACGTATTTTTAAAAATCAATATCTCTACTAAATATTTAAGAAAATTTCGGAACACGATTTTCAACACTGTTTTCAGTTTACAAAACTCGAGAAATCGTACCAGGTACGGTTAGGGACACGGAATTTCAAACGACAACCAACTTTCTGACATTTCAAAACATTGTAGTCTTATACCTTATTGTCATTATGATTGACAGGTCGTTTGAAATTCCGTGTCCCAAACTGTATATCGATTTTTTTTGTTAGAAACGATACACAGTAATAAAAGTTTGTGTCGCAGAAGCTAAAAAACGTTTATTTTTACCATATCTCAGTCCAACAAATAAAGTCGAAAATATATCTGGTACGATTTCTAACGTTTTGTAAGATGAAAACAGTGGTGAAAACTGCGTTGCCAAGTTTTCATAAACAACTGAAATATGTATTACTGTTTAAAAAAACTACCCTCGCATTATATAGTGAAGGTTGTGGACAAGTTACATTTAAAATTTCATAACAATAAGTGTGTTAATAATGGAAATATTACATTCTGGAAATATATTGGCATCACCCTAAGAGGCAAACGTTGCGATTCCTCTTAATTATTTGGAAATCGGGAACTTATTGTGTACGCTGATGAAACTTCTTTAATTATAAGTGAAAATAAATCTAATATAATACAAATAATACGTTCCATAGGGAACGTTGCACCACTTAATAGTAAGTGGTGCAACGAAGTATTTTGATTTTACTAGTCTTTATTAAAAAAAATAAATACAATGGTTTTTGTCAAACTTGACATTTCCAGAAATGAGTAACTCTACGGTTACCTAATTGGAACATAAAACGGCAACATAAAAAAAACAAGTAAACAAATTTTTCTGTCATCTATTGACATAATTTCCAGAACGCTGATTGGTATGAAAATTGAGTTATATCTTAGGAATGTCGTATAGATGTTAAGATGGTAATCAAAACTTGTTTGATGATCCCCACCAACAACTTGATCACGCCACCCCAAAATTAGTCGGTAACAGTTTATTTATTTTTTAATCAATTACCACCCGCTACCGTGTTTAAAAATCATGTTGTTACAACTTTCTGTCTCTTTGTAAGACACGAAAATCAATTTTAATTCATATTTAATGCCTATTTTATGACAGCCACACTTGTCTTAAAAAATAGAAGATCAAATCGAACGCCATAACATAGTAAAATAGCAGCGCAATACTTAATAAAAGATAAAACTAAAGATGTAATTACAGTCTGCTTTACTAGTAAATTCAATAATTTTATTGTGCGTAACTTACAGATGATAGATAAATATATATCGACAAGGTACGGTAAGCATCTGCAGTTTGCAAGTTGCAAGTCGGGCCTTGTCGAACTTACTAATTCAGTCCCTCAGTTTTTATTCGTGCATTTTCCAGGCCGGAAATAGTGGATCTGCCCGCCTGGCGTCCCATCGAAAATCAAGACTACGAATACTCAACGACATCAGGCTACAGCCATAACACGTACCACGGCCCAACTCGGCACTACCGACCCATGCTGACCGGCTCGCAACTCATCACCCTCCAGCACGAAGAGCAGCGTCCCCTCCGCTTCACCGACTCGCCGCAGCACCACCCGCCCAACCCCTCTCCGCGCCGGAAGTCCAGCTCCACTAGCAACGACGGCTCCGAGCTGTACCCGCCGTACGACCGGACGGCCACAATCTACGTGCCCGGCGACTACCAGGGCGACGCGCACTGCCCGGGCTGTGCGGGTCGGTCGGACCCTGCCGTGGGCTACCACTACGGCCACTACCCCCCGGACCAGTATGCGGGCTACAGCTCCGAGTACAGTGGCACCACGATGTACGGCTACGGCACTGATTACGCGTACGACAATCCGAGTAGTGTCAGCAGCCACAGCGGCTCGCGGACGCCGCAGCGGCTGCCGCAGGGCCACAGGCGGACTCCCTCGAACGTGTCGAACAGCTCGACCGCGACCAGTGGCTCGAACGTGAACCCTAGTTTTAAGTTGGAGGACGAGGGTAGCTACTCGAGCTACCTGCGGCGGCCGTACGAACTCGACTACAACACCTTTTCGCGACAGAATTCGCAGGACTCGAATTTTGAGCGGCCGACGACGTTGGAGACGTCGGGATACACGAAGCTGCGGTCGAGTCTGAAGAGAAACAATTACCAGGCGGGGCAGGGACACTCGGGGGGAAACACCCCAACGAACCCGACTCCGCCGGATAGTTTAACGAGCGACGATAGTTCGTACGTGTCAGCGAAAGATAGCAACAGTTCGGTCAGTCGGGTGAGATTTTCACCTACCACGTTGATAGATCTACCGGTTCCGGGGCAGAATCAAGATCCGACGGTTCCGTTGCAGGCGAGGAGAGCGAGGAAGCCGCTGGTGGAGAAGGAGTTTTGGTCATAACATTTTGTGTATATTGTGTAGCGCGATGTGGCTTACGTAATTTTCTTGAGGTTTTTGAGGGTTAACATCGGCTACATTGAGGAATTTATTGTTAGCAATATTGAGGTATTTAATACTAGCCAATAAAGTGATTCGTGTGATGTTAAGGGATGGGGAGCCTGTTCGTTAACAAATCGATTGCTTGATTTTACGGCTAATTTTATTCATATACGACCAATACCATTTCCAAAAGGTCTGGCGCAGTAGGCCGTAATTTGGGTAATTCATCTCCTCTAGCACCGACTTTGTGATGAATAATATACTAGAGGACGTTAATTACTTAATATTTCAAAGAACCAGATATGAATAAAATCAATGATAGCAGTAATGAATTACAGCGCCATCTAATTTGGCGCATAAACAGTAATATGGCTTTGGGTTTACAACTGAATCCCAATTTTGTATTTATCATTCTTTGACAATAATGGTTAAAACAAAAATATAATTATTTAAACTGAACATTTTCTCAGTTCAGTTCATTCAGTTTTTTGACGTATGATAATATGAATAATGATGGAGTAGTGTTACGGGCCATAGAAGACAAAACGATCATCGATGTCCCATCAATTTCAGTTAACTGAAATTGTTACTTGTATTTAATACCAAAATAAAATTGACTAAAAAATATTTTACAATTTATTTTTTTAAATAATAAAAAAGACAATAGTTTGCAATATTTTTTTCTTAAAATATTTCAAATTATTGTCTTTTTTATTATTTAAAAAATGAACATCGGCTGTGCTTACAGATTATTGTTTCTAATATTCTTTTTGAAAATAACGTGTTTTTACTGTGTAAAATATAGACATAGAGAATGAAACACCGCTATTATGTTCTATATTGCAATTTAAAAGTTAACTCGATTCGTCAATCATTTTATAAGCTTTTAGTGGATATCAGTCATAAGCTTTCATATGCTGAACATAAATCTTCCACTAACTGAAATAGTTTCCAAATTTAAATTTCTATGATTATCTAAAATTCTTACGTTTTTGGGGAAACGATACTGTATGAATATTTAATAACTGATGTGATGTGATGTCTAAAATAATAAAGGTGGAAAATATCAAAAACTACCACTGTTTTCTACTGTTACCAGCGTCTCTAAGCTAGATGACCAACATATTATGATAACTCTGTCACAAGCTCCAAAAATGATGCAGAAACATAATTTTTTTATGAACAGCAAAAATCAAATTTGTCAGTGCACTTGCGTAATTTTTTAATTATAAAAAAAAACAGATGATTTCAAAATAGTAATGCAATCAGTTTTATAAACGTTGTAATTAACTATAGTTTTCGTAGGGACGATACTAAGAGAAAAATACTCATTTAAGGCAGATATCAATTGCTGTGATGTATTATGGAAAAGAAGATGGCGCTGAAATCGAAATTGTTTGGTATTAATTTTAATAACATCGACAGAAATGACAGTTTCATTTTCATTATGTGACTCCATTTTCCGTAACTAATTTTGGCTGTGGACTCGTTAGATTTACAAATCAAAAATTGAAATAACACACGCACGCATTCCAGCTTGCATTTATTTCTCTTGGATGTAGCATAAAAATGTGTTAGTGTCATTTCTGGTGAAACTGACTTCATCACGAATTACAAAAGGCAACGCATTTTGAGAATCGAGCAGTCCCCTCCTTAAGTACACTTATATATTCCTAGTCTAATTGTGTATATTTATTATATTTTATAATTAAACGGCAGATGTTAACTCTGTACAATGCGTATTTTGGCTGTAAATTTTTATGGTATTTGTAATAATTATACGTATGTTGTTTTTCGAAGTGGCCAATAGATCCCACCTTCGTGTGATCTCTTGGCCAATATTCTGCTCAAGTCACTGTATTTAGAATATCAGTGAAGACTCACAAACTGAAATCAACATTTCACAATCCATAGTGCCTGATTATGCAGCTTAGACGTACAAGTGATAAAAACATTAGTCATTTTGGTGCAATTTACTTAAATATGATGCATGGTTTTAATGATTTAGGTTTGTCGTAAAGAAAATATAAAATCATAATATTGCTGCCTTAAAGTATTGAATAGAAAAAAATTATCATTATGTGTAAATTTTATACCGGCGAGGTGGTGGAAGTTAACAGTTTGATTTTTGATGTCAAAACTTTTGTTCAAGTAGGATTCTATAATGCGGTTGTTTGACTTTACTGAAAAAGACTGGCTTTAAACATTCCAAGTATATCAAGTCTGGCTTTGCTTAGTCATATGCCCTGTTGATAATTATTGTAAATGAAACGACCAATTTTATTAATTTGTATAAATGAATAACAAGATTTTATTAATTAACGTACTCAGTTCTTAATGTTAGTAAGGGAAAAAGTATTATAATGTATTATATTGTCAGTGGAACTTCCTCCTAACCGTCGTTATTTTCAGTTAAAAGGAAGTTTCACGTTATTTAAGTACATGTGGCCATTGTATTTTTAACAATTACGAGGTTCAGTATTGGATAAATTGTACATAAAATATACATACCGTAGATTTTAGTTCATAACACGTGGCTTCCACAATGTGAAAATCATGTTATATTTATTAAATGAAAGAAACTTATGTATCATACATTCCAAATTTCTTTTCACAAGAAACTATTACTTAATACTCATTTGTGTGAATTGTAAACGACTCAAAATAGAATTTATAAAACTAATGTCTTTTCTTGGAGCAAAGATTAATAAAATCACTACAAGTATTACGTATTTTTATTAACCAGTATGTATCTATATGCAATGATTATATGAGTGAATCAAGAGCACCAGTCATATTCAAAATAATTCTATATGAATGAACAAGACGTTCAACTTGCTGTTTCTCGCAAAATCACACATATTGCAGCTAACCATAACAAATCTACAAAAAGATTTGATTGTAATTACAACACTTGTTGAGGGCTGTAGTTGCGATGTTAGATTAGACTGTCAAAACCGACTTCAATGTAAGAATTTTCTAACCAATAAGCGCGAGGTTTATCACATCTCTGTTGGGCGGTTCTACATAGTATGTAGTATAGTTTAAAGATGGAGGAAGGAAAAGGTAGCTATATAGTGGCACACATATTAACGTCATATTTAGTTCTAGCGACAAAGTGATTCGTTTGTCACTAAGAGATGAAAAATTTACTGGTAGAAGGTTTTTGCAGTTAGGAACGAGCTTCCCACATATGACTTCTATCACCGTGGTCTGACAAACTGTTGTGTCTATAGGTAAGCAGAGAAAAATGTTGTGCCTCGGTGGGATTCGAACCCACGTCTCCATGCATTCCGGGCAGGTATGCTGACCACTACACCACAAGACAACTTATCTTTACTCTGCTTACCGACGTGTTATTGTGCCGCTACAGTACTCCCCCCCCCAGCGACACAGCGCGCGGTCGTGCTGGGGTGCGAAGGAGATAGATGCTGGCGTCGCCCCTACCACTCTTACGGTCGTTGTTCGAACCCTGGCGGTGCTGCGGACCCCGAACACAGCGGGCACAGGGCGGTGGCAGAAGGATGTTGCGTGCGCGTTGCCTGTCGGTGGTCACCAATATAGGTAAGCAGAGAAAAATGTTGTGCCTCGGTGGGATCCGAACCCACGTCTCCATGCATTCCGGGCAGGTATGCTGACCACTACACCACAAGACAACTTATCTTTACTCTGCTTACCGACGTGTTATTGTGCCGCTACATGTCGTTGTTGAAACACGTCAAGACGCTATTGAAATTTTGGGTGTTGTTAGGGTAACAACATAGCTAAGTTATGTGCCCCCAGAGATTCTTGAAACTTGTAAGACAAGCATGTTTAAACTGCCTGTGTTACTGTTTAGTTTAGGTGGCAGTGAGTCAAGGAATAGTGTGGCAAGCATACTCTCTCCGTAAATGGAGAGAATACGAAACTAATCTGGTTCACTAGGAAAAGAAAAATTGGCACACTACAAATGCCAAAAATATTTACTAGGTACAACTCTTCAACTTTTGGATGAAGTCAAATACCCTTGGTGGGTGCGGACGCAGAAAGAAGAAATTAAAATCCAAAAATATGGATAACGAAATAAAAAACACACTGAGGAAGTGCTTTCGGGTACATCTCAAACTGAAAACCCAGCCACTGTGAGTTTGCAACCTCCTAAGAGGAAACGAATGTGTGGGGCTGAGATAAAAAGGCTGAGGATGGCTCGCTTGCAAGCAGAGGCGGCAAATGCCGACCCGCCGAAACCGGGCCCATCCTCCGGGACAAAGTCCAAGGGCAAAGGCCAGGTTGCTCTAGCCAACCCAACACAACTCAGGGGAAAAAAGACCTCAGGATCAAAAAAGAGAGTGCGGTGTTCAACCTCCACACCTTCGGTAGCACAAAAGCAAAAGAGGATGAGGAGGCAGAAGTCCACCTCTAAAGAACATAGCTACACGGAGGTAGCTGCAAGTCATCTCCGTGTAGCTGTGATTGATGTACAGCATCTACTTGGCAAGCTAACTGCTGACCAGGTGGAGATGGTACAAAATAGCCTGTGAGAGCACTGGACAGACAACTTGAACAGTGCCTGGCATCGGAAGACAAGCAGCCACTTTCACTTCTGGAATGGCTAAAACAAAAAGTGCGCACTCTAATATCCTTATGGGAAGGCGCACAACTTAACCAGGCCCCCTTGGTTCAGCTACAAAGACTGGTGAGGGCGACCCTGTGGATACCGAGACCACTGGTGGATGCAGAGGTCCTACTTTGCCAACTGGAGGGTCAGAACCAATGGGTCTGCGTTAAAAAATGGCTTCTTTTCCATCACGAAGCCAAAACAATCAGGGAGAGAGAGGGCAGGATAAACTATATGCTGTCCTCCTTCAACCTGAAACTTAAAGAGAAGGAGGCGTCGATTGAGGAAGGGCAGACCCCTATGGAAGAGATAGAAACGCCAAGGGATGAAGCATCTACCAGTGGGATCGGGCCGCAGATAAATTTCATCCTGATTAACCACCAGCATTGTCCCATGGCGACGACTGTTTTGTATCGTCGCCTAGACAAGATGTAGAACACTATAGCAATAATTCAAGGACCATGGATAGTAAAATCCAGGATCGCGGGGTTGAGCAATTTAAATGACACTGTTGTGTTTTTCAGGTACCACAATAGAATCTCCAAGGACATATATTTACATTCCTAGGAATATTAAAGCCGTCCTCCTACCTCAGGTCAGCTCTACAAACTCGGTTTCAATAAGAATTATTTTTTGTAACTATGCAACCGAAAGCACCAAACACCGCAGGTACCGACCCAATAGAAGAGAGATTATGGTCACTGTAGGGAGTGAACAAGAAAGTTCAACAGTTTTGTCTGATGAATTTTCAAATTCTACGTTATATGAAAAATTTTATGCCGCTTTGAACAGAGTCGCAAATGTATCATCTAGTTTTAAAAATGTAATAAGAGAGAGCATAAGATAGCATTTACAGAAACGTTTAGTAATAAACAAATAACATGGCACAAAAATTAACGTTCTTTAAAAAGAAAACAACGCAGACAAAGTGCAGATTCTAATTATGGACATGTCGTCCCCTGAGAACTTGTTTGATCCACAGATCAGAGCGCACTCAGGTTAATATCGACTCTAAGCGATTTACTACGAAGAACTAACCCGTTTCGACCATCTGGTCGGACTATACAACGAATAAGTGAACAAAGTTCTAGAACAGTGACAAAATTTACATTTAAAATTGCATTATCAATTGGTAGAACGCTCACCAAAATTTGTCACCAACAATGAAATTACGTAATCTCCCATTTTACAGTAGTAGATGTAATTTAAATTTTATATCCTCCTCTTATGGTTTATGAATCCGTGTTAAGCTTTTTATCTTTTTACCTTACATGTCAAGATTTTTGGAAAAAAATCAACAACATTTTCCAATTTATAGTTATTGGAAGCATGTTAAATCGTTAGTCAAGATTTATCCGTTGATGCTCCCCAGGGGGTTGATGATGCCATCTTAATCGAATAAATGTTATTTAAATGCTAAAAAGTAGCAAAGTCCTGAACTTGTGGTTTATAAATACATTATTGAGATTATTCGGCTTTTCGATTTCTCTATTTTTCAACTTTAGATGTTTCAATTATTCAGTATTTCAATTTTGGACATTTAAAATTTTTCCATTCTTCATATTTTCGGTTTCTCCATATTTTTATTTTTCGATGTTTCAATTTTCCAATGTTTTAATGATACAATTTCTCAATTTTTATCCTCTTCAATTTTACGATTTCTAAATATTTGGATTTTTCAATTTTTGAATTTTTCAAATTTTGACGTTTCTAGATTTCCAGTTTTCCGATTTCTGAAGTAATCTTTTTTTTATTTATCCATTTCTTCCCAAAGTTTCGATTTTTCACTTCTTCAATTCTTCAATTTTTCAGGTTTTTGACGTTTGAATTTTTCGATTTCCCAGGTTTTTGATTTTTCGATCTTTTAAGTTTACGATTTTTCAACTTCTGGATTTCCCGATTTTCAGTTTTTCTTTTTTAAACTTTAGATTTTTCAATTTTTCGACTGTTTTATATTTCGATTTGTCGAGTTTTCAGTTCTTCTATATATGTATTTCAATTTTTCAATTTTCGGGATTTTTAACATTTTCGATTTTCCATCTTTTTTTTTAACTTTTCGATTTTCAAATTTTTGGATGTTTCGATTTTTCTTTCCATGATCCGATTTTTCAGTTTCTCGATTTTTTAATTTTACATTTTCCAATTTGTATTTTTTTCATTTTTTCATGTTTGGATTATTTATTATTGCTAAAAGTAAAAGTAAAAAATTGGTCTAAAGAGTTTAGACAGTATTTCCCGCGCTGTCGGAAACGTGACGACTGCATACCTATTATGTTTTTTTCGCATTAGATTTCAAAGCATTCGGTTTTGTAGTTCTTGATTAAATCAATAAAATAAATTTGCGCATTTATTAAATTTTTTTAGTCACCCTGTATATCCAAATCCAAAAAATATGAATGGAATGATAAATTACAAGAAGAGACTCATCATATTTTGTACATTGTAGATAGGATTTATTCGGCAAACTTTTGAGCTGACGTCATCAATTTTTTGGAGGGGATAAGTATATAAATATTTTTACTAAAATTTTAGTATGTTCTTTATAACCTTAAAACGTTCGCAAAATTTCAAAGCATTCGGTTCTGTAGTTCCTGTTTAAATCAATAAAATAAATTCACGCATTTATTAATTTTTTTAGGTGCATTTGCATATCCAAAAAATAAGAATGGAATGATAAATCGCAAGAAGAGACTCATCATATTTTGTACACTTTAGATAGGATTTATTCAGCAAAATTTTGGGGTGACGTCATCAATTTTTTGGAGGGGATAACTAAATATATTGTGATTAAAATTTTATCATGCTTATCATAACTGTAAACCATCTGCAAGATTTCAAAGCATTCGGTTTTGTAGATTCCAAATTAAATGTCAAAATGTTGTTTCCCAATTTTGATTTTTTTTCCAAAAATCCGGATGTTTCGGGTAAAACCTCAATTCGGAGTCGTAAACTACATGTGTAAGACTATGTTATTGAATACAATTTAAAACCCAATTACTATGTACAATTTTGAAGTGACTTCATCACATTAGTGGTGGGGATGATTAGACAAATTTTGGTTAGCGTTTTATGATCTACATGATATACCTAATATAAACACAAAATTTGACAACAGACAGACAGACGGA